TCAGCCTCAAACATTTCTCAGTGGACTGACGCTCTTTCACTAGTCTTACTGAGTATACGCAATGCATTGTAAGCGGACACTGGATACACTGAGTCTCAACTCGTTTATGGTACTACCCTTCGAGTTCCAGGAGAGTTCGTGGATCCTTCATCCTCTTTGATGAACATGGATCTAACCTTCTACACGAACAGGCTTACAAACTCAATGCTTTCAGTTAAACCTGTTTCCACTCGATCGCAATCAACTGATGTTTTCGTTCAACCTGACTTACGATACAGTACACACGTTTTCGTACGTTGAGACTCGCATCGACGATCTCTCGAGCCAGCATACGACTGACCTTTCAAAGATCTTCAACCCGAACCTAAGTACTATATAATCGATAAGAACGGAACTAACAATAGCATCAGCATCGATCGCCTCAAAGCAGCGTATTTAGAAGGAAATCCTATTCACGTCGATTTTCCTTCATTACAATCGCAGGACACGACACCTGCACTTATAATACCTCAATCGACAGCCAACACACACGTTGCTACTTCGGCGATATCCGAAAATAAACTCAAACCAACGAGTTCTGGAAGAAGAGTAAGATTTCCAGAACATTTGAACGACTATTGCACGTACGATTCTAGATGACATTTTATATCGTCTCGATTTTCCCTCGTACTATATATAATTTTTTTAAAAAAATTTGATATGCTTATATATTTTTATTTTTTTATTTAAAAAAAGAAGACAAAGCAAAGCAACGATAATATAAAAATACTTTTTTTACGCTATTACGTGAACATGAGTTTATTTTCCATTTTTTCGCTCCCTTTGTTTTTTACGCGCGTACGAGTGTATTTAGACATGCACTTACACATTTTTTTCTTTTCCAGGACAGCTGGAAAAGACTATGAAAACAACGATGAAGTTTGCGAGAAACGGAAATCTTCATTGTACTTTTTCTTTTTTTACTATATTGTACTGCATGGTCCCTTATAGTAAGGAGAGACGACCAAACGCTGCTAAACCTAGCAAGCGATCATAAGAGCGTTTACCAACGAAAAACTGGTTGGGTTTAAACTTCTGGCTGGCCACGTCTTAGGATCATCACTACCCCACTAGGGGGGGAGTGATCTGTAGCGATAAATAAATCCTCAAAATAAATAGCTCTGTAAGTTTTCGACATTGGATGCTGACCACACTAGTTTCAATGGACTCATCTAGATGGATGCGCTCGATCGTGCATTCGAACCATACCACGTTTGAGAACGCCGTTCTCAACATTCACTGCGATCGCTAGCCAAGTTAGATCAGAGGATCCTTGATATATTCTAGTAGTTCAAATGGTTGTGGACGGAATAGAATAAGCTTTCGCTTAATAGGCTTCCGTGTCTAGTAGCAGGGGATCACCAATACCTCCAGGCAAGAACCTAGGTATAATACCGACAAAAGAGAAAAAACAATTGGTAAATCATAGTAAGATACTGTCCTTAGTCCTTAAGAATAGATCAAGTCGCCTCTTAAAGGACTTCTAGGAAGTTGCTTGTACTAGCTCAGCCGGCAGCGAATTCCAGCATTTGACAACTCTTGAGGAGTAGAAGTTGTGTCTGCAGTCTGTTCTACTGTGTTGTATCTCCAATTTCTGGGTGTTACTCCTTAGGTTAGTGTTGGAACTAAGCTTAAGTAGGTGTTTAAGAGGATGTTCAGGAGTGTTAAGGATACTGTAAGCCATTAGAAGATCACCTCTAAGACGTCTATACTCTAATGGGTAAAGGTCGAGTGATTGGAGGCGCTCATCGTAAGGTTTAAATTTGAGTCCCCGAACTGATTTCGTGGCTCGCCGTTGGATACGCTCCAGAGTGTCCTTATCCTTTTGGAGTGTAGGAGGGAATACTATGTTCCCGTACTCTAAATGGGGACGAATGAAACTATTGAAGATTATGTGGAAAGTTCTCCCGTCAAACTGACCAAAAATGCGCTTCAATGTTACCAGTGTAAGGTTTGCTCTAAAGGCATTTTTGTCACAGTTGGCGTAGGACTTTAAGTCGTAGGGCACCAGAACTCCTAAATCTTTTTCGACTCGGGATACTACTAGAGAGGAGTTTCCTAAGTTGTAACTGTAGGAGGGAATGCTATATTTCCGTACTCTAAATGGGGACGAATGAAACTATTGAAGTTTCCTAAGTTGTAACTGTAATCTGCGACGTGTCGCAGATGGACTACTTTACACTTTGAAGTGTTAAAGGTGAGTCCGTTATCGTCTGCCCAACTTTGAAGTCGAGTCAGATCCTCCTGAAGTGACTGTATATCCTCTTGGTTGCGTATCTCTCTCCAAAGTATATTGATAGCCTATCAAATATATCTTCGAACCTCTTCGCTTCTGTCTTTTGATTTCACTTGGTGGGTACGCTTCATATTAGAAGGTGTTACTGGTTAAAGCGTTGTCAAACTCCGAATGCCTGTGGCATCTTCAAGTCTATCAACAACAAGAGGGTTACCTACAGGCACGAAAAACACATTTAGGCTGGACATAGAACAATATGTTTAATATGAGTAAAAGAGACAATTTGCATAAGAATGATAATGTGTACGAAGCGGATCTATGCCATCCTGCCTTCTCCATTGTTGTGTTTTACTCCGCGTTAAATGTCAAATATTTATCTCACTAGTTATCTCGTCTTCAGCTTTGGAGAATGTGTGGTTAGGGTTCATCGCTACTACAAAGACACTCATCATATCTGTGGCTGAAACTTGATTAGTCCATGACTTCGATATCACTTCAGAATTATACAGGTAAAACCACCCAAGAGGTTATGGAAATAGATGTAGGGATGAGAGGGATCCTTGTATACATCACTGTGGTGGTTCCCAGCAAAAAGAGCTTAAACAAGATATATCGATACACTAGGTTATTAATGATATACCAAAAGAGTTAACTGTAAAAACCCTGGGTGTCTGTGTACGAGTAAAAACCATGGGTAACAAATTACATTTAGAATACAAATAGTATGTTGAAAAATAAGATAATAACAATTATTATGGAATGAATGTTACTTGTAGGTTGCTTTATGAGATGAAAACCACAAATAAGTCCACTTGATTTAACGTAGATTCTCCTGCGAGTGGTGACACCGACGGCGTGATGAGAAAGACAAAGTCCAGTAGCATTATATAATAATAATCCCTACCAAAATACCAACATAGTGTAGGAAGGCCTAAAAAGATATTATAACACTATTATAGTCTTCGATCAAAGGCCGTGGACGATAAAACAGAAGGGAAGACGACGTAAATAAATTGTTATATTTCAATCCGCACGGTAGCAAAATTGTATATACATTTATCAAAACAATTATCATCATTTTTAAATATGTGATACGGAAAAACAACAGATATTGAATAAATATGTGGTTACAAAAATCACGGAATATACGTCACTATATCACTAATAATACGGATATATGTTCCTTTATTATCGATTCTCGTAACAACGAGGGTCCGAAAAGTTATATCGATAGATGCTCTGACAGTTGAGAAAGAAATTATCTAAAAACTACCTCAATGTAAGTTCAGAGGTCCATACCACATTCACCCTAGGATCATGGAAACTCTGATTTATATGATTACTGAAACTCTGCCAGTACTGTTTAATATGTCTCTCAAGCAGACTACGTTTTCAAGGGATTTGAAAGATGAAATTATAAATACGGTGTATAGGTGAGGGAACAAAGATTTATTGACAATCATCTTGCGAGTCTAACCAACATAGTCGCCAAAATAATATCTACTCTAAACTATGAGGAAAGGAATAAAGTTTTGTGAAGAGGGTAACATGGCTTCAAAGGGGGTCTTACATCCTTGACAAATGTCATTGCAGGGGAACATCTTACTGCAACGGGAGATATTAACTGTCTGGTATAGGTGGTTTTCACCGATCTAAGTAAAGCCTACGATAAACTTTCTGAGATGGGTGTTAAATTAAAACTCGAAAGTTTTGAAATCCATTATAGGACTAGAAATCGGATGAGTAACTCTTTTGGTTATAAGAGGCAACAGGTACATGTAAATGAGGCCTTATCCATATTGATATCTGTCAAGAGTGGATTTCCTCAAAGTACAATCCTTAGCCCTCTTCTTTCTTCCTTTATGTAAATGATGTGTTAACTGTCGCAAAGTCATATTTTCTAATTTTTGTGAGACCGTATTTTATAGATGACCTCTGAGTGACGCTAAAGTGATCCTGAAATCGTCCATGGGACAAACTGTTTGTTGTCTGTTTTTCTAATTAGGTTTATGATTTACTGTTATTGGTTAAGGGTGAAAATTTTATTTAGAATTTCATCACAAACTGATTTCAACTACAATGCTAAAACTCTTTATAGCTAACTCGGCGAATGCGTTTCGCGTGAAAATTCGTGACCTGTTACCTCAAAACTAATTGATTCGTCCACAAATTGTAGTCTCACCCTTCCCTTTATCGAACTGACGAAACAGGTTACGGATAGTTCCTATAACCTAATTGCTTACATCTGTGCAAGCAAGTCGCCTATCAACTAACTAAACGGTGATCAAAAGAACTAGAATTCTTCCAATCACGTTTCAGTTTGAATAAAATGCAGTATAACCGTATACTGAACTACAATTTTGTCATTAATTTACTTCTTATCTATTACGTCTAAGAATGATTATTTGAGAGGAAAATTCGAGAGCTCAAAAACGAGAGATCAAACAAGCTACATTAAGAGTTTTGTTTTTTTTGCATGGGAACACTAGTATCCGGGAGTTTGTCAAATAACGTAGTATCAGCATCGGTTTATAAACTCGAAATTTGCTAGGATTTCCTCAGTATTACAAATTTCAAGGATGGTGCTGTGAATGGAATTTCTATCCCTTCATCTGACTATTGAAGAAAACAACTCGCTAACAATCGGACGTAAAGAACTCGATCGGCTTACACAAGGTCATCACAACGACATTGGATATTGGATGCCGTATAGTAACCTTGGGGTGTTTTTATTACCGTAACCTTCGTTAAGGCTCCACAGACGTACGGGTTGATGTCGTTTGCCCTCCTAAAAAAGGCCTTCGGTATTGGAAAAGCAATCGACGACCGAGAGTTTGACGAGTTTCTTAAGGCAGTTGACATAAATGATGTACATGTCGGGTTTGTAGTTCAGTTTGCTCTGACCTACATTTAAGGCAATTGAGTAAATTATTGAGAAAAAAAGCAGTCCGGTTGTTTGTCCTAAAAAATGAAGACTCAGGTGTCATATTTGATTCTTCAGCACAAAAGGTATGTCAACAATTATAATTTTACTCTCAGGATCCTGTGAAATCTACTCCAACCATTAATGTTGGTCGTCAACAATTGAATCTTAGTGACATGGCGTTTGGGTCTTATTCACTGAATAACAGAAAACCGCTCTTGCATTCAATGAAAATTCATGATATGAGGTGAGTTCAACCCCTAACTAATGACAACGTGTAGTTCTATTGGACAGGTTCTGTTTACTCGAGTTTTTCATGAATTTGATGAGTGGTAAGTACAAAAAAATTCTGAAGCACACACTTTTCAGGCGAAAGCTGTATCCGAAAAGTGAACACAACCAGGGGATCAAGCAAGAAACGTGTGTTGGAAATCCTGAGTTGGTATGAAAACTTACTAAATTTATTTCCCCATAGTTAAAGAAACACAACTTAAGGAGTTACAAAACCTTGGCAGTTTGCCTGCTTATCAATTTGGATTGGTGTTCACCTACTAGTGGGTCGTGTCCCAACAAAGCATGTTCACAAAAGTCACATAGCCGTCGGAATTTCTATCATCTGTTCAACACTGATGTTTCCCACCACAACCAACTAGTTCCTCAGTCGTCCATGGATACTAGCTTGAAGATATCGGCCTTTACTGCGAGACGTTTCTACAATATGCTCTTTGAACACTGGGTCCAGCTGAGCCTAATAATAGAGACATTGTCGAATGAATGTGCAATAGCCGTATGCAACAATGCTAAGAGCTACTGGGGCACGCACAAACTTGTTCCAGAGACACACTGTGCAGAAACCATTGCAAAAGCTTTCAGCAACTTTCTGAATTGTTTCCGAGATCTATGTCTGCCAAAATTATATTTTCCGATTTGGCCTACGTTAAATGTCATATTATCTACCGATTTTGATTCATTATCACCCTGCTCTGATCGATCACGAGCTGATTGTGTTGCTTATTGGCTTAATATGGACCCTAGTTATTCTCAGTCTATGATTGTCGATTCTAACCAAGTTTCCAAAGATAGTCTACTCGATGTGTTTGTGAGATCCTGTCTGGCACCTTTAATTATTAAAGGTAATAGTAAAGAACATCGTAGGTAAGTGAGTTCTACATGATGCACCTTTAACACTCAAGCTGCATTACAAGTGTTCACCTTAATATATTATGTTTGATGAGTTTGTAGCCGTCTAGCTTGTCCGTACAAAACATAGTTATGATTTCAGTTTTTATTTTAGATTTTAGATCATACAACATGTAGGGATTGTTTAGTCAGCTAGTTTTTTACATACTAACGTTAAAAGGTTGACTGATGTACGCTTTTTATCGAACCACTACTGGATTATTTATTTATTTATTTGAACACAGGTATTGGTACAAGGAGGCACCAAATACATATGCGCCACACGAATCTCAATTGATTTGTGTGAGGGCTGTGATACTGCCCGGGTGCCAAAACCGAAGCAGGTGGTTTTCTTAGGGGGCCACACCCCGAGCCTTCGACCGAAAGGTCTGACCCACAAGGCAGTGGAGCATCGTGAGGAGATACAGTCCCATCGTAGCCGGTGACCAACGATTGGTTCATACGCCATTTGTCCCTTCAGGATATTGGAGCCCATGTGCATCGTTGGTTTTGGATCCGGTTAAAGCGCCGGACATTCGCTTTTCGTCCTCTCAGTTTCGTAAACAACACCCCCGCCACGAGAAGGTAGTGAGTAGGAATTCCCTGGCAGAGGCTATATACGCGTGGCCGTGTGAGAGCATTTGGAGAAGGAGAGCGGACTCTCCCCACTCTCGGCCGTACCAAGGGCATTTGGGGGCACTATTGGGTAAAGCTATGAACAGTGTCTAAGGTTTATCATTCTGTTAGAAGCATTCGATTTTAGGTGAATAAAAAGCAGTTGAGGGAATTCTCACGCCTTCTCAAGTGTCTGCCGGGTAATTTTCATGTGCATTTTGTCGCTTGTATTCCTGTCACCGGTTTAATGCTTTTTAGTAGGGTTTTGTGTTAGGAAGCAATTCATATTGATGTGCTGTCATTCAAGAATATTTTACGTCTCTGTATGGCTGGTTGATTCCCTCACATAAGTACTTGTGACAAGAATTATTCAGGGATATTTGTAATCAATTGGATTAATTGTTGAGAAAGCGTATTTGTAACATTGTAGTAGTTCCTATTGGTTTTCTTTCTGATTTTGTAATATCACTGACGTCAACTTGTTCTAAATTTTCAGTCAATCAGCTACAACGTTGAACCAGGCACATATATGCATCGTTCCAAGTTGCCATATCTCATTAGCACAACAAGATGGACATCGAATTCATAGTAGTTAATTCAATGGTGGCAATATATAAAAGAAAGATTGCATATAAGGATATAGTACAGGAAAAAAGAAGTGGGTAGCTGTCGAATAGTTGAAGGCCAGCTGAACTGTTCTTTTAACTTCTTCCTACTAAGCAACAAATTTCGAGATTTCTGTGGGTCACTGTAAATTATGTAAAATTTCGACATCTGTCTACTTAAATAGTTCAACTACTTCGTGATGCGTTGTGGTTGGGAAATTTTTTCATGAATTTTTATATTTGCTGGTAAAGAAGACTCACGTAATGTACCCACCTTATTCACGTAAAAATGTTACTCAGTTGTTCAGCGTATTTTTTAAATCATAAATTCGTCTAGATTTCTGATTATATTCTGTTAGATTAGTCTTAGCGAATTTCGCTTACCATGATTTAATCAATATATGATAACCAAAAGCGTTCTTACTTCAGATTATTTTAAAGTTCAGTAGGTATAGATCAATCATTTTTCATTCCATATACTCAGTTCAAGCATTTTCCGAGTTAAAAACCGTTTTACTGTATATTCAACGGGACTACATCATCTACGAACCGGAAATCGACTACACCTGTAGGTAGAGCAGTTTACAATTATTTAAAGCATGCATATAGCAAAATTGAAAATAAATTAAAGGCATATACAAACATAGAGAACACTATAAAAGTTAATTCGAGTGGTATCTCTCAGTAATGTGTCACCTTTGAGTAGGAAGTTTTTACTGAAGAATCAATTTCAGCTATAGACTGTTACAAAGCTTCCGGATCGATGGAGTGATGTGTTGCCTTTAGATTGAAGAAAATTATGGCGTAGATCTGACGTTTGTATTTGTGTTCCAGAACCATAGGCGAAATGTCCGGTCAACAAGTTCCTTACTGGCACAAAAGTATCTTTTTCTAAGTTCACTTCAGAGCCATAGTCGTCAGATGATTGTAGAATATTAGTTCTAAAACAACTATGTCAAGCTGATTCCTCTGCTATTGTGACATGTCTTCTGTCCTTCGTCATAAACGGGAATAACTAGGGATCGATATCAGGATACTTTCTTTTATTGATTAGTGAAATTATGACGTCTTTTGAAGTTACTGAATATTTTTCACCAGTTTTCACATCATAATGTAACTTTTAATACCCAAATTTAGTCATTTCTACAATTGGGTGTTTATCAGGATATAGTTGCCAATCTATTTATTATCCTTTAATGTGACCTTCAGGTTTTTTTCATGAAGTTAAGGCTTTCGACAGAGATTTTTCGCTTTGCCCTGTCTGTAGTCATTAACACTCCACACGAAATATATTCAGGCAACAATCTTCATCTTAGTTTCTCCATACTTAGCCAGTGCTATTCAATCGGTCGGGATTCAGTTCATAATAGTGCTATATGTACGTGTTCTTCTTCAGGTCTGTATCTGAAAACATTTATTTCCTTATTTCATTCTCGTTTTGGATCATTCTCATACTTAGTTCTCCATATTGCCTTTGGCATTATAATTCTAACTCCTACCCAGTCGTACACTGACCATGACTAGCCGACCAAGTGTTTGACTTGTCCCTAAATTTCCAGATGTTTACTGCAGATTCATTGGTCGGATAAGGTCGTGAATGTTCATTTTCTGGTTCAAAGTATAGTTCTGGTTCAGCTAATCGTCACTTCTAATCTTATCATCTGATTTCGTTTAGGAAGCCAGATGCTAACTCTGGTCTTCACAAAATGAGTGTTACTCAAGGCCTAGGATACTAAAATATACGTAGTTACTGATTTCAGTTAACCAACTTGATTTTAATATCCAAGTTTGGTTAATAAACATCCACAGCATTGATTTCTGTTGTTTTGTATCTTTATACTAAGAAATGAAAGGTGCTAAGATTGAGACTTTAACAACTAGTTCAGAACACCAGAAATGTCACTTCGTCTTTTTTATTAGCATAAAGAGGTTATGTAGAAGACCTTATGGGAAACTGAAACGTTATCGAGAGGATGGTAAATAGTATTCCACCGGGGCTGTTCACAGCGTTTCCCATTGTAAGCCTTCCCGGTAGAGAACATAAACACATTAACAAGCTCTTTTCTGAACCCCTACCATACACTAGTACGCGCCACACATCTTGTGTTTTAGGTGTAAAAACATTCATCCTAAACGGATTGATTTAGATTTGTATCACTTACTGTTGTGCCCCAATAAGAATAATGAGTGGTAATTTTTGGGATCCATTTGTGGACCAATACTATAAGTATTATTTTATCGTATAATTGTTAATTAAGTAAACTATTCATATTCATGTCTCTCTTATCATAAGCTTTATTTTAACCTATGAACTGTTATTATACAATTTTCCATTCTTGAATTATTCCTTGTTTATTAATCACTACCTCCCATGTTCACAGACACATTTGGCCAAATTTTGTACAAATGTTATTTTCTATTTTATGGTACATTGTGGTCTGCTTGTTTGGTATATAGACCGACTATACTTGAAATACATGATTTATATCACAGAGGCTCGGATTAGTGTTGTAAACTTAACTGGCTGGGCTAGGCAGGAAGCAGTACCAATCAGCACTCTAGGCTGCTCGTACTTGTTTTACGCGTCATTGATTCGATCAATAATTCATTGCAGTCACAAGTTATAACACTTACCACCACATTACTTTGGTTATTGACTACCAATCCATCCAAAGAGGTAAAGATCTGTAAGAATTTCCAACTTTCGAAGTTGTTCAGGCATTTAGATTCAACCGACATCTCAGGTTAGTTTCAAAAGTAAAAGTGAATTTCTGGTTAGGAAGTTGTTTTGGATGGTTTAGCAGTCTGGATATTCAATAGTCTTGGGATTAGGCGATTATCGTTCCATCTTTGGAGATAAATATACTACAGTTACGACTTCAAGTCTGCTTCCAATAGGGTTTTTTCGAACCGTATTTTCCAATGTTTAAACTTTCTTACCATTGTTGATACTATTATTCCGGTTTTTATATTCTTCGTGTCAAGTCCATTTAACTTTACTGATGTAGTGTTTCGGCTTGAACCGAATCGTACGTTGGTTCTGACTTACCAACTTTCTAAGCACACCAGTGTGTTTTAATGGGATTTTAGAAATTCACTTACTGTAACTATTGGCTAAAAGTCATTGTCTTGATCACTTTTATAGAGGAATCTGAATACACCAGGTAATCACATCATGATAGAAAGTCAATAGACAAGCGCTCTAAGTAGTGCTGTTCAAATGCGTCACCATGAAGAATAAACCATATCGTCACATTCCTGTAGTCGCATGTAGAGTTGTTCCTATTCGTTTGGTAGCCATAAGTTCGACAAGTCAAAATACAATAGACCTTTTTTGTTTGTTGAAGATTATGAGAGATTTTACATATATACACGCTATACTGTGTTGTAATAGTAATTTGTAAAATGTATTGGCTGGTTTTTTTGTAGCTTTCTTGCTCGGTTGATTACTGGTATTCTTATGTTCCATACTGGTTGGATTGATGGTTCAGGATCACGTTCAAATCCGGTAGGTTTTCAGGAACTTATTGTAGTTAATCTGTAAATTTAGTCAACTAATAGTTTTCGTTACAACATAAAAGTAAAGAAATTATGACAATTTTATGTGGTATCATCTGTAATGCCATTTGTCCAGTATAACTGAGCGTTATGAATTGTTACATTTTGCATTAATTTGATGATTAGTCATATTTTAGACTGTTCTGGTGCTTTAAATTCTCTTCTGTCAACTTGCATTATCTCATTGGAAGCCATTTTTACAGATGTTCATGTACATCTGGTCAACACGACATTCATTTATTGTCTTTGTATGTAAGGGACAGAAATATATCAGGAAACCTTAATTGTTGTACTCTAGAATTGAAAAGACTTTCAGTAATCTAAAGTGAGGAAGGGAAGCGGGGCCTGATAGATTAGTTCCTGGGATTTTCAAGGATGGTAGTCTATTTTTAGAAGTTGTTTTGATTAAGATTTAAGCTAGGATCTGGGAACTGGACATAATCTCATCTGACTGGTTTCGACCACTGATCGCTTCAGTCTATAGAAAGGGACAAAAATCTTCTTGTGACAATCACAATGATATTTTGACGTATAACTAGAGCTTGTAAAGAGCAAACCTGAGAAAACCAGATTAGTTATAGACCAAATATTCGCCATCCAGGAGGTTCTGAAACAGCTATACTTTCGACGTCCGACAACAGTTGCATTCCTTGACCTTAAGACGACGTTCGGCTCTGTTGATCGTGGGGTTCTGTTTCAGTATCTGTCACTGAAAGATATATCAAAGAAGCACATTAACCTTGTACAGGCTCTCCATTTAAACACTATTGGTCGAGTCAGAGCTTATGGCAAACTGTTATCGGAATCTATAACTTCAATTAATGTTCATCAGAGTTGTCTGGTTTTACTACTTCTAATTAAATTTGTCAAAGACATGATTCTACAGATAAAACTTTCATCGTCTGACTTTCCAGGGATTGATCTTCTACCAGGAGGTTCACTTGTTGACTTTAAATGGGCAGATGTTATAGATCTGTTTGTCGAAGATGCTGACGAAATCCAAAGTCTTCTGACCACCTTAATTAGCAATGGAAGCATTTTTGGGATGCGATTCTTTCCCTTCCAATGTAAAATGTTGCTTCATGACTGGCCTGGAGTAGTGTAGTTGAGTGTGTCTACTGCTTCACTTATCTTGTGGGTCTTATCAGTCCTGATGGTCTGATGTCCGACGAAATCTCAACACGGATTCAGAAAGCTCGATTGGTTTCTCTCAAATTGCGTCACTTGTAGTATAGGGAAAATATCCGTCTGTCGACCGAAGTACGAGTTTACTGCACAGCAGTCCGATCCATCCTACTTTCTGAGCGTAAAACATGGCCATCAAGAATAGTGGATGTTCTTATCATTTTGTTTGCTTATTTGAGCATATAAATGTTGGTACAAGGGGGTACCAAATGCATATGCGCCACACAATAACAATGAGAATATGAAGAGAAAAGAATGTAAGGTGCATATAATACAAAGGGGAACAGAAATTAGTGTATGATAGCGAAACAATAATAATAATAATGGGAGGGACAGTTCAGTTAGCAAAGGTACAACCATAAAGAATTCTTCCAGTTAAACAAGTTACGTCCATTTTTTATGATATAAAATAAAGTTACAACAGGATCGCCACTGGCTTCTATTCTGAGCCATATCTGATAACGTTTCTAGCCACTATTTTTCCATCTCTAGGACCCCAAACAAGTAGTCATGAAGGACCAACAGTAGCCAGTCCTATACAGCATTCTTTCATACCACGACACCATGTCATACACTGAACACTTCTGCTTTTACAAGATAGTGACACCAATCAAATTATCGTCTCTGTGCCCGAACCCACGATGCTGAACCTCTGCATTTCTAACATGGTGTTGTCACTGGATGTCAGCAATTCTTCAGAGACAATGGTGAATACATACAGAAAGTCGTCTAACATCATCAACTCAGAGAAGCCGGGTTTCACAAGCACACAACAAAACTGTTCTTACCGACGCGTTGTAGATCCGACATTTTACAACCAGACTAACATCACGAAGACGCCAAAGATGGACCAGATTGGCATAAGCCACTCTGGCTTTCACTATACGTAAATTGATCTCATCACACGTTATCAACAGCACTTACGCAGCTGACTTCAAATGCCCTGGTATGGCCGAGAGTGGGGCGGGCCCGCCCTCCCTCTCGAAATGCTCTCACACGGCCACGCGTATATAGCCTCTGCCAGGGAATTCCTACTCACTACCTTCTCGTGGCGGGGGTGTTGTTTACGAAACTGAGAGGACGAAAAGCGAATGTCCGGCGCTTTAACCGGATCCAAAACCAACGATGCACATGGGCTCCAATATCCTGAAGGGACAAATGGCGTATGAACCAATCGTTGGTCACCGGCTACGATGGGACTGTATCTCCTCACGATGCTCCACTGCCTTGTGGGTCAGACCTTTCGGTCGAAGGCTCGGGGTGTGGCCCCCTAAGAAAACCACCTGCTTCGGTTTTGGCACCCGGGCAGTATCACAGCCCTCACACAAATCAATTGAGATTCGTGTGGCGCATATGTATTTGGTGCCTCCTTGTACCAATACCTGTGTTCAATTAAATAAATAAACTTACGCAGCTACCCAGATACACGAACATCTCGACTATTTCTATCTGTTCGCTACCCAGGGTGAGTGCAGGTTCAGGGTTTTTTCAATCCTGTAATAGTACTTTGCACTTCGAGAGTGCAAAGCACATGCCATACCTACGGACACTAATTGCCAACTGATTTAGTGCGAATTACATGGCTTGGGTATCGTTTTACAGTAAGACTATTGTAGCTTACTAATATTCGGTCATAGGTGTCTTCGAGGCATCGTTCGTGTATTCTGGGACCACCGAGTAGACAGTTCCATGGTCAGGTATGGAGTACTGCGTAGAGACGCTAAATGGATTGATGATGAAGTAAATATTCATCAACTAAAGTGGTCGGAACATATGTTACGTATGCCCAACCACAGCCTACCTAGACGGGTGATGTTTTCTGATATAAGAGTAGGCTGGAAGAAAGCTTAGTAATTGACTCTAGTAAATAAATGAAAATAATAAGAGTAGACGGGTCTTCCCGGATATGAAGATATCATGGGACAACATGGACTAGAAGAAAGGAACGAAAATGGTGACAGATTTGGAACTAAATTTACGTCAACACATCAATATACTCAAGAAACGAGATATGAGCAAATGTGAGAACTACAGAGCAATCACACTATTATCAGTACATATGAAAGTTTTTAACAGGGTGTTGCTGAACCGGATGAAGGATTCGTAGATGCACAACTTCAAGATCAACAGGCTGGATTCCGTAAGGATCGGTCGTGCACAGACCAAATCGCGATACAAAGGATCATTGAGCAATCAATCGAGTGGAACTCGACACTATACATCAACTTACTTGACTATGAGAAGTCCTATGACAGTGTGTGTAGGAGAACATTATTGAAACTTCTTCGACACTATAGTATACCTGAGAAAATCGTCAATATCATACGGGACTCATACGATGGACTACAGTACAAAGTCATGCTTGGATGACAGCTGACGAGTGCATTCCAAGTGAGGAACGGAGTCAGACAAGAATGCTTACTCTTCCTTTTCCCCTTCCTTCTGGTGGTTGACTGGATTATGAATACCTCGATATCTGAGAGGAGACACGGAATACACTGGATAGCTCGGAATCAACTAGATTTGGACTTCACAGATCACCTGGCCCTACTATTCCATACACATCACCAAATCCAGATGAAGACAACTAGTGTGCCAGCAGTCTCTGCATCAGTACTCCTAAATATGCACAAGGAGAAAAGCAAGATCCCCAAATACATACGGAAAATACCAACACATTCACACTTGATAGAGAAACTCTGGAAAATGTGGGAAGTTTCACTTCTGTGTAGTATCAGAGTGTGGAGGATGTGATGCAGACGTAAAGGCGAGGATTGACAAGAAAAGGACAGCATTCCCACAGTTGAAGAGCATATGAAACTCAAAACAACTGTCAATCAATATCAAAGACACGATCTCCAATACTAACGTCAAGGAAGTGAGTTCTGTTAACGGAAGTGCCACAACCATCATCAAGAACCTACAAGTATTTATAAACAATTGTGTACGTAAGATACTGAATGTCCGTGGGCCGGATACCAATAGGAGAGAACAAACCGGTTTCGAGCTGAGTAGGAAATTAATAAAAGACGTTGGAAGTGGATAGGTCACACATTGAGGAAATCAACAAACTGCATCACGAGGCAAGCCCTAACCTGTAATCCTGAAGGGAAGCAGAAAAGAGGAAGGCCAAAGAACATGTTGCGTCGGGAAATAGAAGCAGTTAAGAAAAGGATGAATAACAGCTGGAATGAACAGGAAATGATTGCCCAGGACAGAGTTGGATGGAGAGTGCTGGTGAGCGGCCTATGCTCCTCCACGAGGAGTAACAGGCGTAAGTAATTTTACTGCCAAAAAAACATCAAATTAACCGAATCTTTATAAATAATTTTATCCCAGAATAATTATTTGCTTTTGTTTTGTAAAATTTATCTTAGGGGGTCAGTTGTGGGAATTCGTCAGTATCGAGTAACCAAAATGTTCCCGTCAGTTTATTGGATCAGTTACTTACACAAACAGGTTTCAAAACCATAGGAACAGATTCAGTATCATTCGGAAGTATATTTAACTGCACTGTAATTTCTGGCCAGTCTCGTGCCTATTTAATGGCCCTTCTTCACTTTGCTACATATTTCTTGAGATTCATGTGCTTGATTCACACACAGGAATGCCTCCCAGAACTTGGACCAGCTGATCTGTTTGAACTAGAACAACAGAAACGGCGGGTAGGTGGTGATCATGTTAATTTTTAGAGTTGAATCTTTTGTGTTTTTCACTAGAGTAGGTCATCGCTCTTTACCAAATTTACACTTGTCTTCCTTATGTAATCCTCACTTCCTCAAAAAAGATTATAGGGTTTACCAATGAATTTAGGTTGTATTTAATAAATAATAACTATCATAATTATTACTTAAGCGTTTAGCCTTATGACATGGGTTGATTATTAATTTAGTGTAATGTAGGTAAACGTACATTGGATATCGGGACTAAATGGTTATTAAATAAGTTTATGGTAAATTTAACAATTATCAATTCATTTTTAACTGCCATATCCTCTGGAATACTATGCTCCTTTAAGGTCTTAATGTTTTCAGTTTAGTCACATATAGATGTATTCTTTGTGGTTCGAAGAGCTGTATTGAACTTTGTATTATAGTGTATCTTTTTGGTTAATAAAACTGTCGAATAGTACTGCAAGCGTAACCAACGAGGAGAAATGAGAATTAATAAGTGATCCTAAATAAATAAGTTTATAGGATATTGAAGTTTTATAGCAATTGTATCGCCACTTGTGTCTTCTTTGACCTATTTCTTTCTGGCTTGCAAATTGCCAATCCGTTCGATGTTAATGTTCCTGTAGCAAAAAAGCTTGTAGATTTCAAAGATGGTCTCTGTAACTTGTCTGATGAATTTTTTGTTCTGCTTTATGATTATATTCATTCACGTTTGGTGAGGGTGGAGGATGCCGATTAGAACCATGATCAAAGTCTATCATATTACATTTTCGTACTCAGTTGAGTTGAATTAATCAAGAATGTGGACCTCTAGATTATTAATCGTACTGACGTTTGGTAATGGTTGTATGCAATATCTAGCTTTATGCTGTTTTTTCTCTAGAGATTGTAACATAACATATTCCTGTATGGATACAAATATCTTAGTATTTCGTTGTCTTTAATGTAGTGTATGAATAACAATCAGACAAATAATTGTCACTTGTTGACAATTCAGCAGTCACACGCGGATGTGTCACCCCATTATGAAATATATATATATATATATATATATATATATATATATATATATATATATATATATTTGCTTGGTTATTGGCCCTTTGAGATCGGACCAAAAGACAGGAGATCAGTTGTATTGATCTAGTTTAAGTATTGATTATCTCTCCTAGTTTATCTGCTACCAATGACCGACTAACCACTGATACTCTAAATGTGAAATAACAGCCGAAAGTAACGCTAAAAGACTATTGGTCCATAATGCGGTTTCCCACGCTCGGTCATTCGATAGTCAAAATAGGAAGCAACTCAGATACATCTGCGTAATAGAGCTAATGGATACTACAACCGGAATGAAATAATATTTGAATATATGACGCACTAGTTATAGCTCTAAAGTTATGAATCACGATTTCACAGAAGTGCAAGTTATATGGTGAAAATGGAAAAATGATTTAATAATGCGAAAAACAGGAATTATCGATATGGATTTATTTCAGTATTGCAATCTCCCCTTCCCAAAACTCTCTAGTGTGCTATTAATGTTTTTCCGTTGACTGTTATGGACTCAATTCCATACTAGTTCATATTGATTCTTTAAGAGTTTGTACTCTTCACTTATTTTGTACTTTTGTTAATACCTGTATCTAACTGTCAAGTTGTGGTCGTCTCATACGTTATATATTGGAATATTAAGTTGATCGTGAAGATCAAGATAGTTTTTTATGTACTTTAATGTTCAACGTTGCTACAGTCGTGCTTACGTGATATTTTTGAATACAATACTTGCATGTAAATCTGTTTTTGATAGCAATAGGGCCTGTTATTTTAGGATTTAGACTACGAACGGCTCGTTGAAAATATAAAACTTATCTTTACTTTTAAAAGACTCGTTTAGGTGCTAAATCACGTCGTAAATCTGGATCGGCAACCAGTAGTAACTCAACTGGTCACAGTGGTGATGCACATGATTCTGGTATCAGTTCTCAGGAAGATTTGACTTCTACATTTTATTCAGCGAGCACTGGATCTTCTCCTACACACGTTTCTGGTATGGCGTTGTGTATGACACATCGACTAACTCGTGACCAATGTCGAATGGCTGAAGTAGCTGCTCACTTTATGGTTACTCGAGAGGCTGCTGCAGCAGCGGCGGCGGCAGCAGCGTCCGGTCCAATTAATTCTCAAACTTCTGTTAGCACAACACGGTAAGTTTACTTTGTATCAGTTGTCTTTTCTATCGTTTCGAGTAAAATCAATGTTTATTTGCATGTAGTTTCAATTCAGTTGTTTGAAACCATGTGCTTTCGTTTTTCATGTGTTGTAGTTTATTCAGGTTCATTTTGCCTCAGTTTTCATTGAGCAATGTCCGATATGATATGACTGATCATACGAAAACTATTAAGGATTTCAGGGGATTCTTACTAACCCGATCATTTAGTCCTACTGATTTCATATCTGGTTACCGTTTTTTTAGCGAGTTAGTTTTCTACGGGATGGGGTCGCCAACTCCATGCCCAACCCTCCTCCTTTACCCGGGCTTGGGACCGGCAGTAACTGTAGAAGAGCTACAGGTGGATGCAGATGCATTTCAAGTAAGGACCGTAGTAAGACAAGTCTGTCTGTTCTCCCCCTTCCTCTTTCTTCCGGTGGTCGACTGGATTATGAGGACCTCGACATCTGAGGGAAAACACGGCATACAATGGACAGCTCTGAACCAATTAGACGATTTGGACTTCGCAGATGACCTAGCCCTCCTATCTCATACACGCGAACAAATGCAGATGAAGACAGCCATAGTAGCAGTAGTTTCTGCATCAGTAAGCCTCAAAATACACAGGGGGAAAACCAAGGTCCTCAAATACAACACGGAGAACACCAACACAATCACTCTTGATGGCGAAACTCTGGAAAATGTAGAATCCTTCACATACCTGGGAAGCATCGTCGATGAACAAGGAGGTTCAGATGCAGACATAATAGCGAGGATTGGCAAAGAAACGACAACATTCCTTCAATTAAAGAACATATGGAACTCAAAACAATTTTCAACCAATATCAAAGTCAGAATCTTCAATACCAACGTCAAAGCAGTTCTGCTGTACGGAGATAAAACTTGGAGAACTACAACAACCACCATCAAGAAGGTACAAGTATTTATCAATAGCTGTCTACGTAAGATACTCAACATCCATTGGCCGGATACCATCAGCAACAGCCTTTTGTGGGAGAAAACGAACCGGCTCCCACCTGAAGAGGGAATTAGGAAAAGACGATGGAAATGTATAGGACATACATTACTCAAATAATCAAACTGCATCACGAGACAAGCGCTAACTTGGAATCCTGGAGGGAAGCGGAAAAGAGAAAGGTCAAAGAATACAGTACGTCGAGAAATAGAAGCGGATATGAAAAGGATGAATAAGAGCTGGAAAGGATTGCTTGAGACAGGGTTGGTTGGAGAATTCTGGTGAGCGGCCTATGCTGTTTCGCGAGGAGTAACAGGCGTAAGTAAGTAAGATTTCACATCGTTGATACCTCAATAGTTTAAACTCTCTCTCTCTCTCTTATAAGTACTTGGAAATTCTCTCATTGAAGATTACCACATGATTGAATATCTGGGCTGAATTTCGAAATTCATGTATTTTTTGATAACATTTCATTTACTATACATTCAGTCAGTTATAGACAGGGTAGAGCTGACCATATATGTGAAATTATCAAGGTTAGTGAAAAAGTATTAGAAGTAGCAACAGGGTTAGTGGTAGTAGAGAACATCAGGAGTAAAAGATATAATTTGAAGAGAAAGTGAATTTGCGGAATAAAGCATACAAGGTAATTTTAAACATGACTGTAAGGAAAATGGAGAGTAAATGTATCTACACTATTGCAACCGATTCTAAGTCATGTCACTCAATGCCTCCAATCATTAGTTGTAATAATCTATTGACCCCTAACAGTCTGGACCTACCAACACGGTTCAGTCTGACAGTCAATATCTTCATGAACTGATGTTACATCAGCTTTCCTCCAACTTACTTTTAAACCAGCAATTATTACTTGTCAAGGCAGGCGATGATTAGATATACATTCTTTAGCCAAAACTTATCTTACATCGTAAATGCGTTCCGAGATTTTGTCAGACACTTATCTACTAGGGCTAGTGAGACTTCCAAGATATGTGAAGTCGTCGGCGCGTTAACTAATTCTTTCTATACCATTAGTTAAAGCGTTAGTATACGTCAGTCATGAAGCGACATTTTGCATTCAGAGGGAGAGAAATGCATTTCAAACATTCATTGTCATTCAACAGGATCAAAAGACTCATATCAGTGTTTTCGTCAAACACAATTATGTCATCTGCATACCCCATGTTCATAGATAAAATTAATTGTTTGATAATTTTTGAATCGTACATGTGCTGTTTACATGTTGTTTATCGTCAGCTTTATATATTCTGTAATATTATTGTTTTTCGTTTTAATCGTCCGATAATTGCAGTTCAACTGATACCTCGTCTGGATTAGTAGATGGTAGCAGTGCTGCTAGTAAACCATGTCCATCTAATAACTCACCTCGTTCTTATCGATCTCGGTATACTGAAGTTCCTTTGCTGATAGAGTGAGTAAATCATCATTTCCTGAAGTTTTTCTTTAAATTAATTCTTATCTGTGAATCCGATAATAAATTCAGAGTTTTCTCTGCATTTGTTCCACTAAGTAATTATTGTTCATCATAATGAATGATTTCTATTTTATGCCTTTGGTTGCTATGATCTAGGCAGCTATGTAATTTCTTTGACATATATGTCTCTCTCTAAACACTTACGTCATACAATACTTTTTGTTATTCAAATGAATTCTAATGAAATTGTCAACCTTCACAAAATAGATTGGGATCATAATATAGTACAAATGTTTCGCCGCTTTGAGGTCATATTTTTTCAGGTTAATTTACCATTGAAGCACATAGTATCCCTCTTAGAATTAATCAACCCATCAGTAGTCATAAGCAGAATAAAACCTGGGATAAATGTTCAGGTCGCCTTATTACTATTATCACAGCGAAACGAGATTGTCAAGACGAATTAAATAAAAGGATTTTCATGGCCTTTTTGGTTATTCTCGTGTAATAAATAATTATTTGGAAGCCAGATAATTCATTCCTATGCATACTGCTAATATTACAGACTAATACACGAATTATACTCCCCACGAAATTTAAATTTCCATGTTTTTATCTTTGAAGAATTTGGATGGGTTCCAAATGTAAACGTGGTCGTTCTACACTTCACTGTTTTTCTCAGTGAAACATAAATCTTTTACGAAAAAAACTATATTTTGAACCAACTAATTCATCAACTATTTAAAAAAACTACATAAGTTAGCTTCACTTTTTTAAGCGTAATTAGACTTTAAGGTTGTTTACAGTTTTAAGTCTGAATTTTAATAACCATCAGTGTGTAAGCATAATACGATATTATTTGCTGTATATATATTTACAATTTTGTTAGAATTTGGCCTTTTGTTTATAACATGTGATGTAGATCATATGTTTTATTTGTTTGTTTTTATCTATTGATTGAGTTTTTTGTCCGCTTTTTAAGTAATTTGTTTTGTTTCTCATTACTTGTTTACTTTTTTAGAAAATTTTTTGATGGTGATGAAGAGTTGTGTAGTTGTTTACCGTCTGAAGTTATTCCGGGCTTAGGTAATCATCCTAGTTCCTTGACGTTACCACTCGGAAGAAGCAGCAGTCCAACTTCACCGTGTAATACTTTAGATAATTTTAAAACTCATTGTTTACCAATCTATCCACAGTCTGCAGACCGTTCATCAAAGCATTTCTGTTCACCACAGTCACGTGATCATGAGGTTCCATTTTCATCGTCATCAAGAGTAGGGGATGGATCTAATGTCTTTAATATTGATAATATGTCACCATCGTCATCGATTTATCATACCGACGAAGAAATACCACATGCTGTCAATCCAGTTCATCATTCTCCATTGCCAACACTTGCAAATCATTCACTAATCTCCGGTACTGTTACTGATATATACCATAGTGGTCATGTGTTACAAGCGACTGTTGAACACCCTGAAAGTTTCAAATCACGTTTAGAAGAAAATTTACTTCAGTGGATTACTTATGGTCCAGTTATTATAAACGATTTAAATGACTTGTCGGTCTATAGTAATAACTCCAATAATAATACTAGACCAGAGGACTCATTATTATTATCCACCCAATCAAATCCATTAATTAAATCTAGTCTTTTATATCCGAAATCAAGAGATCGTCAATTGAAACCACTTAAATGGTCTGCTACAAGTTTATTGATTAATTGCGATGCTAAGAGTGTCGAGGTAAGGTTAGGAGGGATTTTTTGTAGTTTTAATCTTTTCAAAAATTGTTTTAATTCCGAGATTTGGTGCAGTATTTCTTGATAACGGACGATCAGGAGATTCTTCTAATGCGGAGCGCGATCTATGCGAACTAAACAGACCAGACAACTACAATAAATAACTACGTTCTTAGACCTGTTACCCTTCTTGGAGCATAGGCCACCGATCATAGATCTCCAATAAACTGTCCTGGGCTCTTCTTTCCAGTTGTTGCTTAATGATATTCATGATCTTGATGTCTATCTCCAGTTTCCCGGGCTGTTTTATTTAGTCTATCTCTTTACATTTTCCTTTGAGAACTCCATGCTATGGTTTGCAGTTTGATGGTTTTCGTAAAGTTTGTTTTATCCGTTTCCTGCGTCTTTTCATAGTTTCCTTTTCAGCTGGTATCTGGCTTGTTCTCTAACACAGTAGGTTGTTGCTGATGATATCTGAACAACAGATATGGAATATCTTGCGTAGACAGCTACTTATGAATATCTGTACCTCTTAGATAAGGATTGTAATAATTCTCCACGTTTCAGCTCCGTACAGTTGCACTGTCTTGACGTTAGTATTGAAGATCATGGCTTTGATATTCATTGACAGTTTTGAGTTCCATATCTTCAGTTGTAGAAATCCTGCCCTTGCTTCACCAGTCCATGTTTTTACAACTGCATCAGATAATCCTTGTTTACCAATGATACTTCCCGGGTACGTAAAAAATTCTACTTCTTCCAGGGCTTCTCTGTCAAGAGGAATATGTTTGTGCTCTTCGTGTTGTATTTTTAGATATTTTCTTTTTCCTCGTGAATTTTGAAATCTACTGCTTCAAAAGTTGCTGCTGTATTAGCTGTCTTGGCCTGTATTTATGACGGTGCATGAAATATGAGATAAAGGGGATAAAACATCCAAATCGTCTAGGTGCATCCAAGCCGTTCACTGTATTCCATGCCTCCTCTGAAATGTGGAGGTCATCATGAAGCACTCAACCAGCAGAAAAAAAAGAAAAGGCGAGAGTAAGCAACCTTGTCTCCACTTGGATCGTATCTGTGAGTTGTCTTCCATGCACAACTTTACAATTCAGTCCGTCGTAAGAGTTCCGTATGGTAGTGACGATATTCTTGTGCTCTTTGTATTGTGAAAGAAGATTCCATAGGTTTTTGAATCCTTTACCATAATCAGGGAATTCGATGTATAGTGATGAGTAATATTCTGTTGATTTCTATTAATGATTTGCAGTGTCTGGAGTTTATTAACACACGATCGATCCTTATAGAAACTAGTTTGTTGACCCTTTTTAATTCCTTCTTTTCTTCAGTATCGTGATGAATTATCCCTCTTTTCACTCTGCTTGTACTTGTTATTCCTCCCAAGTTTCCCTGAAGAGAGAATGGAGTATTTTTGCAGTTGCCTGGCTCGACCGTTATGCTCTCTGGTCCTCCTGTTTTACCGTTCCTGATTTGTTTAATAGCATTACTGATTTCTATTGCAGGAGTTCTTCGAAATGTTCTACCTACCCTGTTCCACTACTATTCCAACTCAGTGATTGGTGCTCCGTCTTTGTTTTTGACTGGTTGCTCTGATCTATATTTCTTTACAAGCGTCCTAGTTGTGTCATATACTTCTTTCATATTTCCTTATCCTGCAGCTTGTCCTACTTTGATTGTTAGGTTTTCTACATATTTCCATTTGTTTGTTATCATACTCCTTACTCACTTGTTTGCTTCTATACATTCGGACCAAAACTCGGCCTTCTCTACCTTCGTTCCTCTATTGTTGACTGCTGTTTTCCTACTTTTCCGTTCTTGAATCTTACCCAGAGTATCTGTAGAGATTAATTGTTTATTCTTGTGTTTGTTGTGTCCAGCACATGTGATGATGAAATTATTGCTTGGTTAATGCTTTTTTTGGTTGATTTCTATTGGAGTTTCCTCTTCTTCTAATAGGTCTTGTTAGACTTGAAACTTTTTGCTGTGAACTATGTTGAACTAGCCGAGACTGTCAAGATCTCGAAGAAAGTTTGTACAAAACATTTGTCATGCTGCTTCGTTTTTAGTTTGACCACCACCAGATAGTGATCTGAAGCTACGCCTCCTTTGTTCTTACATATTCCATGTTCCTTCTGAATTTTTTTACTGATGCGTACGTAGTCGACCTGATATTCTTCAATGTCGCCTGGTGAAACCCAAGTAGCTCTGTGTATGTGTTCGCAATGGGGAAATAGGTCTATTTATAACTATATTTCTGAAAGCACATAGACATCTTAGTCTCACCATTCTCGTTCCTTTCTCCTGGTCCATGTCATTTCTGATGCGTTCACACTCAATGTTGTTCATTCTAATCTTGATATTTAGGTATCTTATCTTGATGTTGAGATCCTTTCCTAGGCACTTCTCCATGATCGATTACAGCCTCTCATGAAACTGATCTTTATCTTCTTCCTTGCTATTATTGGTGGGCGCGTATTACTATGTGACTTTGGTTGTAATTCTCTCCTCTGTTTTGAAGGATTTTTGGATGCACTTGGAGTCGTAAATTTTTTTTCCTATGAAGGATTTTTGTTCGTCTTTAAACACCAGTGTGGGGAGCATTTTCTTCGTGATCAGAATATGATAACAGCTCTTCCAAAGTTAGTCTGTTTTGTCCAGATTGTGTTTAGTGGGTTTCACTCATTCCCAGCATCTCTAGGTTGTAAGTTCTCATTTCCGGCACACAAACTTGTACAAGGTTATTAAGTTGCATTTGATAATATGTCACGTAGACTGCAGATTAATCCAAGTCGATTATGTCTCTCCATCCAGTAGTGCATCGTTAAACTGCTTTTTCTTTTGAGTACCATGTGTATAGTAACTTTAAAAAAATGCTAATTTACAGCGTACACATAATTCAAATTATTCGTTTTTATCTACTGTTGCTTTTTTATTCACAAACATCATAAACATTGCTAGCTTCAAAATGCCACGTTTTTGATTCCGTAATATTGTATATGATAATTCTTAAATTGCACTGGTTGAAATCATGAATCCATTGAAGCTAGACCACCATGGAAAAGCTGGGAGCACTGGACGGCCGTTTTGTCCTAGTATGGGACTCCTCAGAAGTGCGCATCCACGATCCCGCTCCTCGTGAGATTCGAACCCAGGACCTAAAAGTCTCGCGCCAGGCGCTTAACCAACTAGACCACTGAGCCGGCACTCAACGGTGTTAATGTCTAACTTCAACCAATCCACGAAGTTGCGCCACCGTACACCATTGTCTTCAGTGAGCTGATATCTCAACAGACCTGGTTGACTTCAAGAGATACTCCTGAAGTTCTAGTGAGAAGTCGTTACCAGTGGAGTTCAACTAGGTCTGTTGTGAGATATCAGCTCACTGAAGACAATGGTGTACGGTGGCGCAACTTCGTGGATTGGTTGAAGTTAGACATTAACACCGTTGAGTGCCGGCTCAGTGGTCTAGTTGGTTAAGCGCCTGGCGCGAGACTTTTAGGTCCTGGGTTCGAATCTCACGAGGAGCGGGATCGTGGATGCGCACTTCTGAGGAGTCCCATACTAGGACAAAACGGCCGTCCAGTGCTCCCAGCTTTTCCATGGTGGTCTAGCTTCAATGGATTCATGATTTCAACCAGTGAAATTTATAAAATCTCCACACAATCCCTTCTGATAATTCTTAAATTGGTCATCAACACTGTTAAGAGTAGTATAAAAGTTGAATCAGAAGGTAAAATCTAAGTCAATGACAGTGAAATAAACCATTGTATTCTGCTAGAGTCATGTTGAATGTTAAAACCTCCTGACCACCTACACAACCGAAGATTCCTTCTTACTGTGCTTCAAAAAGAAACGTCGTTTTGATAATTGGTATAACTAATCAGAATAGAAAGCTTTAAAGACATGAGTTATAGGTTTATTGAATAAAATTAGAGATTCCATCGTTTAATTGAGAATTTCAACTGATGTTAGATTGTTTTGGGTACAATATAAAGCCTAATTTTTTAGTTGTTATTTTGTCAACTATTCCTTTAAGAAATTGTAATGAATTGCTCGGTTTATTGTGCGCAATATTTTTTATTGCTCTTTACAATATATATAGCTCAAAGCTTAGCGTCAGTTTACTGAACTTTACTTTATTCCAAAAGTAGTAATGATAAATCTAGTACGTAAAAGATACAACAGGTCTACTTTACAAAATGATTTGCGTTCATCTCAATGTTCCTTACAGATGTTCAAATATTTTGTTTACTACAGAGTAAATACATTGATGAAGCCATAAATTTCATCAAACAGGATAGTTAGGAGATGTGCTTTGCTGACTAACATAAAGTGGTTTGGAATAAGACTAAGACTGTTGATAAACTCATCAATCGTTGTTCTAAGTCATGTTCGAAGTTGCAGACTTCCTAGTCCATATGTACACGATAATCATAATAACAGATAACCTTAAATGATATGGTTAAAATTCGTTTTTGTAGCACGAATATTTTCATCATCACATTTTTCCTAATTATTGAGTTTTACCAATCATTTTTTGTACAGTCCATTCTCGTTTCAATGGTATCACTTTACTTGTATATAGTTCTCAACTATATTTGTTTTCATTATTTCAGCTTATTTACTGTATATTTTGTTAATTTCTAACTATCCTGATGTGAAGTATGATAAATTGTTCTAATACATATGTTTAAAACTGACTATATACAAGACAGTGATCACTATTACATCAGTGTAAACCTCTCTCTACATTATTAACAATATGTGACACGTATGCATTCGAAAGATTTTATATCAATAAACTTTCGATATTTAAGGGTATCAGTTTTGATTTTTTATTTATTATTAGAATCACCCACTTTTAATTTTAAAAAAATAATAAATTAAACCTAAACCTTATAAATAACTGTGTACGTATTGGGTTGAAATGATTGGCAATAGTCTTTTAAACTGGCTAATATACGACTGTTGTTTTAGTTCATTTTAAATAGTATATTATCACGGTAACTTAATATAAATTAATAAACGAATACAGTTTATTTGTTATCAGGTCAAATTGAGTTAATGTTATGTAAGCTGTTAAACCATCCATATATGGTCTATCTTATTGAATATTTAATGAAAATTTTGTTTAAAATTTCATGAAACTGTTGTATTTGATAGTGGTTGATACGTCTGATATGGTATTCAAGACCGATTAGTTTGTGTATTTGTATGTTTCAAAATTATCTAAATAGTTAACATTTTTGTAATTGGCCTTTAGAATACGTGATATGATTTTTAGAGTATCTCTTTTTTATGTAGAGCATATAAAAGTTAGAAAACTATTGTTAGTCTAATTATTCTGATAAATCAAAGCTGTCATACAATCTACCATCGTTTATAGTCGTTATATGGACATCAATAGTTGGTTAGTGTATCAATACACTAATAAACTGGATAATTTTGTGATCGATTTTGTTGATAAATTGTGATTTATGGAACAGTAATTATAAAGAAGTATACATTTTAAAATGTTTTCTCATTGGATCTCAATTATCTATAGCATCAATCAAATCTGTTCTTAGCCTCTAATTGCTAAACATACATATGTATTCCTTACAACTATTTATTTAAGTTTGTGTGTCTAGGACATCTTTCCGTGTTTTAAGACAATAAGTGCCACTTATTGATAAAAGTTAACCAATACTAACTCATCTACGGCAGGCATTGTAGGCATGTTTGTTGTATGTTTTGCACTTATTAAAACTTTGCTATTGCTAGTCTTCCTCTGTATCTCTTAAGATTGATTCTAGAAGGTTTGGTAGGTTGGGTCTCTCCTAATACCATAATATGAATCGCAAAACGTTTTGCCGATCCATTACTTACTGTAGGTATATATATATATATATATATATATATATATATATATATATATATATATATATATAGTACTTGATTATGGGTTCCTTCACTGTCGCGTGCATCTATTAAACCTGCGTTCACTGTTTTGAAGTCAGATGTAAGACTGTTGACAAAATGGGCGAGCTGATAAAGCGGCAGCAAATCTGTATTATTTAGGGTAGTTAGGTCAATTAGTAACACAAGCTAATTATTATCAACCTTGAGATGCAAAACTGGTTAAAAAATACAAGCTCATAAGAATAACTCTCAACTTCAGTCAATCATTTTGCTGTGTAATTTATTTTCGTAAGATTTTTAATAGATTGTAATTTCTACATTTACATTCACAGCTGAAAACTAATTGCGTTCGCGTATATATTTTCATTCTTCATTTCAGTCTCGAACAGTTTTGTCACACTTCATGTTTCATCTTTATCTTCATATACGTTGTTTTTGCATTATAATTATGTTGATATTTTCCTCCGATACTCTATAAAATTGTGAGAACTAGAGCTTCTGTATTGTCCTATTTCCCTGTTTATTATGTAGAAAAAATATGATTTTTAGTAGTTTCTTCATATTGATATAGGGTTTGAGAGTTAGTTACCATGGTGTAGTTATTATGAAAGTTGTACACCTTCATTTGTTCGCGCCCACATTAGGAATAATATTTACCACTTGAATTTAATTGGCTAGCTATCCATTTTGATCATTACAACCTTGGTTGACCGTGATGTAATTGTAATCTAAGAAACAAGTGATTCTTTCTGTACATAATCTTTTATTGCTTGTAATAATCTAATTGTTTGTATTTTTTAAAAATATAAAATAGGCCCTAACGCTTATTCAGTCCAAATCTACAGATTCAATTTCAAGCAAGGAATCAGATGATGCAAATCTGAAATTAAGTCACCATAGTACTATTAGCGCTGGAAGTAGTAGTGGTACACACGTTGGTCGAGATCGTGTAAAAGTAAGGTTGGATGAGACAGAACCCTTTGAACAACAATCGGTTCTAATTACACCACAGTGTAAACTTGGGTCAAGTATTACTCGGCGTATTATACCAATTAAACCTGCTCCTTTGGTATTTCGTCTTATTGAACAAATCCATTTGGTGTTAGATGCAACAAACTGTTCACTGATGACTCTGAAACATCTGGAGGGTAATCTTCAATTGATTTATCTTAAAAGTTCAATACTGACAAATTTGTTAGTTAAAGAAGGCTCAAATACGCTTCATCGATTGGATCGGATGACTATTGCTGCAGGGTTAGTGACAATTATTTTTAATATCTGCTTACTAAAATTAGTTTTCATGCACAGAAGTTACGATATGTGGTAAAATTCTTTATTCACTCATTGTAACATTGAATAAATGATTAGCTACTGGATGTTTGATTACTGCCCTGTCTACGTTTCCAGAGGTTAAGCATTTAAACTAATTTTCTCGTTGACGGTTTCCGTTAAACTCATGTATATAAACTTGTTGCAAAAGAAGTTAAAAGGATGGGTTATATGATGAAAGCATAAAATGCTGTGATCATTTTTTAAACTGGTTGTCTGATTTGACCGTGTATTTTGAAAAAACTGATTACTTATAAATAACAATACTATGTAGTATATTTAGGTTTAGGGTAACAGTGAAGTTCAGGATGCACATTTTAATATACTTGAATCCAGCAGTCGGATGTACCTGCATTAGTGTTGATGTCCACATTAAGACTCGAACCTTTTTTTTCAAACTTCAATGCGTTGTCCATCGACTTAATTAGTCCGCTAACTTATTTAATGAATATGAATTTATTTGTATGGGTTTGCATTATTCGATTGTTATATATATATATATATATATATATATATATATATATATATATATCAATTGTCTGTTCCGTTCAGTATATTGTTTTGTCAAGAAGCATCCAGTGATGTACGTGTTTGTGGTGACATTTTGACATTAAAATGAGTGGTTCATTCCGATTTCCAAATCACGTGCATTTTTTAAAATATGCATCGTAATTCCACTTAGTTAATAATGCTGTTTTGAAACAATATGATTAGTTAACCGAGTTCATCTCCAGAATTATCAATTACGATTATGTTCAGTTTTAAACGGTTAATCCAACTTATTCTATTTTACTATGTGAATTGCGAAATGTAATTCTTATATCATTAATTTAGTATCAGTATAACAACTAGCGTGAATCCGTATTACTGTTACACATAATAACAAACAAAACGATATTAGAATATTTAATATATGGTTTGCAGTGAAGTACAGTATCCATGTCTCCTATTTTAGACTTCTCAGCCGACTTTACATGCATTCTGCCATTAATAATCACAATGTGACTGAGTTTGAATCTGTAGAAACATCCAGCTGACATTTTTCAGTTACGACAAAACTCATGTTGTGGATTTATTTGCTAGCCACTATGTCGAGACAGTCCTTTCAGGATGTACAAATGACAACATATATTAATCGGTTGAAGTTCCTAAATGTCAATAACGGAAAATTACAAAATCTCACAGTTGATAAGATAAAATTTAAAGATTTCTGTACACTAAACTCCAATATAATTCTGCCGTTTACTTAATCCAACCTGTTAATCTATGTCAGCCATTTTAAAAATCGTTTCAAGTGATTTATGCGTGTGAAGGTGCGTCAATATTTTTCTAACATTTTTTATTATTCAGCTCAGTAGTAGATTTTACGGAAGACTTCGTTGTAAGAAAACCTTTAATTTACCGGTGACCAACATATACCTGGGAATCGTGCATTTGTTTCACGTTATCTATAACAAAGTTGCTATTTTTAAGATATGACTTCATCTCATTTAAAAACATCGTTATTAAGTGTTCGGTTGTTTTCTGAATTCCTTGTATTTCAGTGCATGTTGCTTAATCCCATCTCAGTGCTTGTAGCCACTAACCCTGTAGTGAAAGAGGACACAGGTGAGGACAACCGATTATATTTAGCACAAAATTACAGAGTTACTTGATAAAATAGAAGAACCATACTCCAATACTTCATTTTCAAAATGCTCATTAATTGTCTCAGAATTGATTATTCTTGCATTTCCATACCATTTGCTTTCTATTCCCGTTCTTCCCTCCTGGATCTCAACCTTCTGTTGACATTTTATTCCTAACTAGTGTTATACATTACTTATTTCGACATAAGTAGCACACACATCGCACTCGTCTACCTTTTAATAAGCTGTTGCCGCAGTTTTTCCGATCGCCGTACCACACTATCTTTGGTGCTGGTCATGACTTGCACTCATGATACTCTTAAAACAATCTCTGCAGTTAACTGGAATTTACGTGTTTCTACTTGTCTTCTCTCCGGATCGTGTAAACCGAGCCACGTTCTCCGTGACACTGTACGATCCTTCCCACTTCGGAATCAACTTTCCTGCTATGTCACCTTTCCGTCTTTCACACTTTACCAGGTCCCCACCGCGGAAGGATTCTACGTTCTTTTATGCTGTTCCGCCTTTTTGTCTGATATTTGTTTCTTTTCACCGTTCCTTATTGCTCCCCTCCTTTCTTTTCTTAACGTTGCTACCGTTCACTTCTGTTGTTGTGGCTAGGTCTTATTATGTATTGGAAGTCGTGGCTGTCTACCATACATAAGCAGGAAAAGTGACTTTTGTGTTCCTTGTATAGAGGCACGATGCATCAGCAAAATCAATGTTAACTCTTTCTTTCAGTTTCCTTCTTTAGCGGTTAACCATTCCTTTGACGTCCGGTTGTTTCTTTCTACTCCCAGACATTCTGTGATTTCTATCTACAATTCAAGACAATTATTGCTCGTATTGTTGTATTCTACTAAACATGAAAGTGATGTTTTTAGTTTTGATAATCGTACTACACCACTTAAAACTCGCTATTCGAGTGTATAGCAACCCATAGTTCTTGATTGAAAGTTAGATTATAAAAACTTCACGGTCACTTAGTTACATTGATCATTTTTCACTGATTAATTAGATAGCGTATATACGTATAAATAATAGCCTCTTATCTTTTTTTGTTATTTGTAGTTGCTTGCCAGAAGATCTACCTTTATTGCTGTCCATTGCATCATCTTGTTCTGCACAAGTTGCGAATATCTTACATTCTAGTCATTTCGACTGGTTTAATTTAGGATGATGCACTTCATAATAAACTTTTCTTGAGTCATTAATCACAATTGATTATCACTTATTCAGTTTTCCTTCAGTATAAAATATCATTAATCAGGAATCGTTAATTTTGTAATCATGTTACGGTCATATAATTTGATTCTCTATATTAAAAACATGCTCTAACATGATTGACAAATTTTTAGATGCCCATCATTCTTTTTAATTGGTCATTTAATTATGTTGTGTAAATTATTAAGTTTGCATTATTACTTCTTTTTGTTGATAGCACTCCCTTGTACAGATCCCTTTTTTCCTTTATTAATTCATTATTGTGAATTTGTCTGTTTTTGATGGAAGAATAATGTTTACATATACGTGTGTGTGTGTGCCTTTGTCTGAGCATAATTCAGATTTTCTACAGAAAAGTTCAAAAATCGATTATTATTAAAAATCTGTACTTAAATACTCCAGAAATTACGAACAATGTGTTGGGAAATTTCACTGTAATAAATGTTATGTAAAGCGGGAAAAAGAAAAACAAGATTCTCCGACAGAACAAAGCAAGCAACAATCGAATCATACTTGACAGAGATTTGGAAGATGTAAAAATATTTACATATCTGGGCAGCATCATTGATGAACTCGGTGGGTCTGATGCAGATATGACGGCGCGGGTCGGCAAAGTAAAAGCAGAATATTTACAAATGAAGAACGTCTGGAACTCTGAACAACTGTCTGTCGACCAATACCAAGGTCAGAAATTTCAATACAAATGTCAAAACAGTTCTACTATATGGGGCAGAAAACTGGAGAACTGCCAAAGCCATCATCCATAAGATACAACTGTTTATTCGCAGTTGTCTACGCAAAATACATCGCATCCGCAAGCCAGACACTATCAGTAACAACCTACTGTAGGATAGAACAGACTAAATCCCAATCGATGTTCACCGGCTACCATGGGACGGCATCTCCTTAAGTTGCTTCACTGCTATATGAATCAGATTTTTAAGTTGAAGACTCGAAGTGTGCGCCCCAAGAAAAACACCCGCCTCGGTTTGGGCACCCAAACAATATGACAGCCCACACACAAAACAAGTGAATCGTGTGTCACATGTATTTGGGGCAGATTTGTATCAAAATTTGTGTTCAAATAAATATGTTGAACGAACTCATGTAACACAAAGCAACTACTGTTTTATGCTGCCTTCATAGAAATTATTATTATCTAGTAATAAGTCTGGAAGTCCAAAGAAAATTTGACGTAAAAGCCGATGGAAATGGAATTAAAAATTTGTTTCGATACAGAACTCACCACTATACACCCTATCTAGGTAAGAAGTTTGCTAATCGCATTATTGCATAATACTACTAGTGAGGTTTGGCAATCCTTCCTTACATATATACATATAATAGGAAATAACAGCTTTCTATTTTGAATTAAGCACGTAACAATCGTACTATACCTGTTTGCCGTGAACATACCAGACTGTGCCTAAAGGAACACTGACGAGTTCAGATTGGAAAGTCAGTCACCCAACCACATTCGAGTTACCTGGGCTTAGATACTGACAAACAAATAACAGGAAATAAAAGCACGTGCCATTATGGAGTCGAGTGCTGGATTTATGTACATCACAGTCGAGTAACAGGAAAGGTGACGTACGTAACATAAAATTCATCATCCAGTGAGGACTTAAGAAATAATCGTAAATAAACAAGGATTAAATCATAGGGAAATTAAGTACAGCACGTGATGTAATCTCATTATCTTCAATATGTATATCGTCGATAATATCCGATCATTAATCCTGATAACTGAATACATAGGTTAAATACAGTCTGTCCGTAGCAGCCGGTAACAGTAAATCTGTTAATAGCTCCAAATAGAACTATTCCCATCTGTGGCAATAAAGAATATCACTTTGACTAAACCGCTACTTGGGACTAGTTTTGTTATCCAATAATGTACATGAAGAACATACACGACTAGTGGATAGTGTTGAATTGGTAGCGTTACCCATACATCTTAAAACACCGAAAAACGGTAAGACGACAATAGAGAAAACCCACACAACACATGTAAACAGCTGACTCTAAACTCGCTCACGTCCAATGTCCAATATCTTTGTCATGACCTGTGTAAACCAATTGGTTTCTTTGCGCTCTCTTCTTGTTGTTTCGTTTCAGCTTCAGATCATTGATATTGTCCAATTGGTGGTGGTCTAGCCACTTGGCTGCACTAAATTTAGTCAGTTTGGTAGTCGTTCGTGGGTTTGTGTATCATGTAGTTCGAGTGAGTGCGTTCGTCTCAGGGCAGTAGGGTTTGGGGATCCAACAGCTATTGCATTATCAGGTAAAAGGTTGGCTGATTGTTATGTGGGGAACAGTAAAGAGTAGAATTCAAGTGCTAAGAGAAATTGGTTGTGTTAAAAGGTAAATAAATAAATTAATGGTTCAGACAGTATGGAGAGGTCGAGTTGTACGAATAAAAGGGGGGGCGGAGATAATAACAAACGAGGTTAAAATAAGCTGACGTGATAGTGGCAATAGTAGGTAGGTTACACAACACGCATCAGACACAGTCCAAGTGGGAGATGGCAACCCATGGGTGAATACATGTTTGTCGAGTCTGTGGGCACTTCTGCCGACAGAACATACCAAACGGGGCAAATCTTAGTAAGTAAAAGTGTGAGCATAACTGAGTTTTCGTTTTTTGATATGCAAACCTTCAAGAGTTTTCTTGAGGAGCATAATGATAAGGTTCTGGTAGGATCTTCGTGAAGGGATGACTTTGTGTGCTTAGTACGCTGTTTACCATTATCACATCACACCTTATTCCCATATCGCTCAGAGGGAACTATCTTAACTGTTGGAGTTCATCCTCGTGAGATTTTTCCCTTAACACCATCACCCACTTCGTCGCTCGTCTCCAAGAGACTTACGTTTCTTTCGTGGAGAGGAAGTGAATCAACTTTGTGAACCTCGGAGTGAGAAGACCTCCTTCTGGTGCCGAAAGGTACCAATCCAAGCAGTACTTCTTGACTTCAGAAAAGCCTTAACCATACTAACGCAAACGTCTCGGAGATGAGTTTCACTGACCAATTTCTATCCTGAGTCCGGATTCGCTTGGAGAACTGGGTGTCCCATATCAAGGCACATGAATTGCCTGTGGACCAAAGGGTCTCGAAACAGAATGTCTCACAGCAGACCACCTTAACTTCACTGCTCTTCCTGACTTTTACAAACAAATTCCTGGACAAAACTAACCGACAAACCCTCTCTCACACCAACAATCCTAAGAGATGGATGCCCACAAGAAGCGGGGAGTGTTCACTGGAGCGTCGAAGGACTTAACAACATTAAGGAACTGGGAAAACATACTTGCCACATGATAACCCTTTCCCGATCATCTTCACAAAGCGCGATCTGTGACTAGCTTGAACGCCAGTTCTAACTACACTTCAAATCCAACGCTCCACTTTATATGAAGACAACCTGTCGCAATTACCCCAAAGTTGTTTCTTACATTGCTTAGGTCATACTCATAGCCTCACTCCGAGGTTCACAAAGTTGATTCACTTCCTCTCCACGAAAGAAACGTAAGTCTCTTGGAGACGAGCGACGAAGTGGGTGATGGTGTTAAGGGAAAAATCTCACGAGGATGAACTCCAACAGTTAAGATAGTTCCCTCTGAGCGATATGGGAATAAGGTGTGATGTGATAATGGTAAACAGCGTACTAAGCACACAAAGTCATCCCTTCACGAAGATCCTACCAGAACCTTATCATTATGCTCCTCAAGAAAACTCTTGAAGGTTTGCATATCAAAAAACGAAAACTCAGTTATGCTCACACTTTTACTTACTAAGATTTGCCCCGTTTGGTATGTTCTGTCGGCAGAAGTGCCCACAGACTCGACAAACATGTATTCACCCATGGGTTGCCATCTCCCACTTGGACTGTGTCTGATGCGTGTTGTGTAACCTACCTACTATTGCCACTATCACGTCAGCTTATTTTAACCTCGTTTGTTATTATCTCCGCCCCCCCTTTTATTCGTACAACTCGACCTCTCCATACTGTCTGAACCATTAATTTATTTATTTACCTTTTAACACAACCAATTTCTCTTAGCACTTGAATTCTACTCTTTACTGTTCCCCACATAACAATCAGCCAACCTTTTACCTGATAATGCAATAGCTGTTGGATCCCCAAACCCTACTGCCCTGAGACGAACGCACTCACTCGAACTACATGATACACAAACCCACGAACGACTACCAAACTGACTAAATTTAGTGCAGCCAAGTGGCTAGACCACCACCAATTGGACAATATCAATGATCTGAAGCTGAAACGAAACAACAAGAAGAGAGCGCAAAGAAACCAATTGGTTTACACAGGTCATGACAAAGATATTGGACATTGGACGTGAGCGAGTTTAGAGTCAGCTGTTTACATGTGTTGTGTGGGTTTTCTCTATTGTCGTCTTACCGTTTTTCGGTGTTTTAAGATGTATGGGTAACGCTACCAATTCAACACTATCCACTAGTCGTGTATGTTCTTCATGTACATTATTGGATAACAAAACTAGTCCCAAGTAGCGGTTTAGTCAAAGTGATATTCTTTATTGCCACAGATGGGAATAGTTCTATTTGGAGCTATTAACAGATTTACTGTTACCGGCTGCTACGGACAGACTGTATTTAACCTATGTATTCAGTTATCAGGATTAATGATCGGATATTATCGACGATATACATATTGAAGATAATGAGATTACATCACGTGCTGTACTTAATTTCCCTATGATTTAATCCTTGTTTATTTACGATTATTTCTTAAGTCCTCACTGGATGATGAATTTTATGTTACGTACGTCACCTTTCCTGTTACTCGACTGTGATGTACATAAATCCAGCACTCGACTCCATAATGGCACGTGCTTTTATTTCCTGTTATTTGTTTGTCAGTATCTAAGCCCAGGTAACTCGAATGTGGTTGGGTGACTGACTTTCCAATCTGAACTCGTCAGTGTTCCTTTAGGCACAGTCTGGTATGTTCACGGCAAACAGGTATAGTACGATTGTTACGTGCTTAATTCAAAATAGAAAGCTGTTATTTCCTATTATATGTATATATGTAAGGAAGGATTGCCAAACCTCACTAGTAGTATTATGCAATAATGCGATTAGCAAACTTCTTACCTAGATAGGGTGTATAGTGGTGAGTTCTGTATCGAAACAAATTTTTAATTCCATTTCCATCGGCTTTTACGTCAAATTTTCTTTGGACTTCCAGACTTATTACTAGATAATAATAATTTCTATGAAGGCAGCATAAAACAGTAGTTGCTTTGTGTTACATGAGTTCGTTCAACATATTTATTTGAACACAAATTTTGATACAAATCTGCCCCAAATACATGTGACACACGATTCACTTGTTTTGTGTGTGGGCTGTCATATTGTTTGGGTGCCCAAACCGAGGCGGGTGTTTTTCTTAGGGCGCACACTTCGAGTCTTCAACTTAAAAATCTGATTCATATAGCAGTGAAGCAACTTAAGGAGATGCCGTCCCATGGTAGCCGGTTAGATTCAAACGCCATGTATTTCCTCAGGTTCCGGGTACCCATTTGCACCATTGGTTGAATCCTCCGTGTCCACCAACTCCATACAATCTCTTTTTGTCTTCTCAATTTTGTTATCAACGCCCCTAGTACGAAAAGCTATTGGGCTGGACTTTCCTGTTAATGGCTGTATGCAAGTGGCCATGTGAGAACATTTCGAGAGGGAGTACTGACTCTCCCAATCCACCGCCTTACTAGGTCATTTGGATTTTTCAAAATCGATTCATAATACCATTCTACGTTGACATAGATATTTTATCAATGCTTTGTGCAGTCGAATGCTTTACCACTGAGCCCTCAAATGCCCTGGTATGGCCGAGAGCGGGGAGGGTTCGCCCTCCCTCACGAAATACTCTCACACGGCTACGCGTATACAGCCTCTGCCAGGAAAGCCCTACTCACTGCCGTCTCGTGGCGGGGGTGTTGTTTACGAAAATGAGAGGATGAAAAGCGAACGTCCGGCGCTATAACCTGATCCTAATTCTATGGTGCACATGGGCTCCAGTATCCTGAAGGAACAAATGGCGTATGAATCAACTTTTGGTCAACGGCTTCCATGGGACTGCATCTCCTCACGATGCTCCACTGCCTTGTGGACTAAACCTTTAGGTCAAAGGCTCGGGGTGTGGCCCCCTAAGAAAACCACCTGCTTCGGTTTGGGCACCCGAGCAGTATCTCAGCCCACACACTAAAACCATGATGAACTATCTGCTTATGGAACATATTCGTTTCTCTCCGACTAACATTGAAATGACTGGTACTATTAATATTATTATTATTATTATTATTATTTATTACGTCATTTATTCACTATCTCCTATCTCTACTTTTTGTATCCGTTTCGACTCAGACAGCAGCTCGCCTATGGTAAAAATTCAGCTTTATCTAAACGCTCTTGAGTCACTGCCTGGTTGGAAATTGTATGTTACCACCGAATACGAGTACTGAAGCAGTTTTTCTGAAACCACGTGCACCATTCAAACTGGCTGCCTTCAACGTTCGCACACTTATGCAGGTCGGACAACAGATAGGGCTGGCTATGTCTTTGGAAAGTCTTAATATTGATGTGTGTTGTCTATCCGAGACCCGTATTCAAGACTCTGGTGAAGTACTACAAGTTCGCTCTCCATCTGTCACTTCAAAAAGCTTGTTTTATGTGCGTTTATCCGGGGACCCTGTGGCATCTTCGTCTGGTCTTGCTGGCGTTGGTGTCGCACTAAGCGCAAGAGCTGCGGCAGCACTAGTCGACTGGATCCCCATTAACAGTCGGTTATGTGCTGTTAGATTAGAAAGTTCCATCAAAGTGAGAAGAAATCGGCGTGAGAAACGATGTCTTTTCGTCATCTCCGCCTATGCCTGGCAGATTGCAGCCCGGATGTAATCAAGGACGAGTTCTACCACCAGCTAACTGTTCTTCTCCAGAAAGTGCGTTCGACAGATATTGTAGTACTAGCTGGAGACTTGAATGCTCAGGTCGGGCGTCTAGGCACAGAAGAGAGTCGTTTGGGTGGCCAGTGGGGACTCGTTGGTCGCAGGACAGATAACGGGGAACGTCTACTGCAACTATGCACAGACCACAACCTGTTTCTGGCTAGCACTAACTTTCGGCACAGTCATCGCCGATGTGCCACCTGGCGTGCCCCTTCTGCATCTCAAGCCTGGACTCAGATTGATCACATCGCGATCAGCTACCGCTGGTGTGGTTGTGTACAAGACTGCCGCTCCTTTTGGAGTACCTATCTGGAATCTGATCATGCCCTGGTCTGCGCCAATCTTACCTTACTTTTCAGTGGCCAACGAAGTGACCGCCACCAAAGGATTGATGTTAGCCAGCTGGTTGCAACTTCTGTTGTTAGTAAATATCGAACCGAGCTAGCTTCTAGGCTAGCTAACATTCCACCGAAAAGTATAGATGAGTATTGGTTGCGATTGCATGGCGCCATGAAAATGGCGGGTCAAGTCAGTTGTGGCTTTGCGAAACATCCCGCTTACAAGCACTGGGTTTCTTCTGGTTCCTCACAACTCATTGAAGCCCGTCGGTCTACTCCGGATGACCGTGAGTTTGACCACAAACGAAGGATGTTACATACTGAAATTGGGCAAAGCTTGCGTGAGGATCGAGAAGCCTGGTGGTTGGAGCGTGCTAATGAGCTGGAAGCAGCAGCTGCATCTGGTAATTACCGGAAGCTCTTCCAACTCACCCGAGCCACTGGCAGCAAGAAGTCTAGTGTGAGCGAAACAATCTGCTAGGATGACGGAACGCCAATCACTAACATCCATCGACGTCTTGGACGATGGGCAGAATTCTTCGAAGGGCAGTTCAACTGGCCTGCTGCTCCGGCAACATCGGCCAGACTGTTCTGCCCTCCATGGCCGGTGACGACTGATCCACCAAATGAGGCGGAAGTTCGCAAGGAACTCCAACTCTTGAAACTACAAATCACCGGGCCCAGACGACTTACCTCCGGCTCTTTTTAAAGATGGTGGTGACTTTCTGACTAAGGGACTGACGACGTTGTTTACAAAGGTCTGGGAACTAGAGTGTGTACCAACGTCATGGAATGAGTCGATAGTTGTCCCTATCTTTAAAAAGGGTTCACGTTGTTCCTGTAACAACTATCGGGGGATAAGTCTACTTCCGATTGCGTCCAAGCTATTGGCTTCCGTCATACTTCGTAGGTTGTTCAGGACCCGAGAAGGATTGACTCGCGAGGAGCAGGCTGGGTTTCGTTCTGGTCGAGGATGTATTGATCATATCTTCACCCTCCGCCAAGTGTTAGAACACCGCCATACTTATCAAAGGCCAACAATCGTAGTGTTTCTTGATATCAGGGCTGCCTTCGATTCGTTGGACAGAACTGTTCTCTGGGATTGTCTACTGAAGAAGGGTGTGCCTGAAAAGTTTATTAACATCCTAAAAGCCCTATACACAAACATCTCAGGCAGAGTGAGGGCATACAACCACCTTTCTCCACTATTCCATTCGAGCAGTGGAGTTAGGCAGGGTTGCCCAATCTCACCATTCCTCTTCAACTTTGCCATCGATGACATTCTGGAAACAGCTCTGACGGATGTAAGTAATGGTGGTGTGGATCTGTTGCCTGGAGAAAGACTTCTCGACCTTGAGTATGCGGATGATATTGTCTTACTGTGCGAGAATGCCCAAGCTGCGCAATCCGCACTTAATCAGTTGGCAATCAGTGTCCGTAGGTATGGTATGTGCTTTGCACCTTCGAAGTGCAAAGTACTTCTACAAGACTGGCAGGATTCTAATCCTGTACTCACTCTGGATGGTGAGCAGATAGAAGTAGTCGAGAAGTTCGTGTATCTGGGTAGCTGCATAAGTGCTGGTGGTGGTGTGAGTGATGAGATCAATGCACCTATAGTGAAAGCCAGAGCGGCTTATGCCAATCTGGGCCACCTTTGGCGCCTTCGTGATGTTAGTCTGGCTGTAAAAGGTCGGATCTACAACGCGACGGTGAGAGGAGTTCTACTCTATGCTTGTGAAACCTGGCCTCTCCGAGTTGGGGATGTTAGACGACTCTCTGTGTTCGATCTTCGTTGTCTCCAAAGGATTGCTGGCATCCAGTGGCAACACCATGTCAGTAATGCAGAGGTTCGGCATCGAGTGTTCGGTCACAGAGACGATAATGAAATTGGTGTCACCATCTTGAAACACCGACTTCGGTTGCTTGGACATGTTCTACGAGTGTCGTCCCAGAGAATTCCACGTCGTGCATTATTTGCTGACGCTGGGACTGGTTGGAAAAAGCGGTGAGGTGGTCAGTGTATGACATGGTGTCATGGTATGAAAGAAAGCTGCAAAGGGCTGGCTTCTGTTGGTCCTTCACGACTCCCTGGCTGGGGTCCGAGAGACGGTGTAACGCAGTGGCTAGAGACGTTATCAGATATGGCTCAGAATAGAAGCCAATGGCGAACTTGCTGCAACCTTCTTTTACTTTCTTCATAAAAAGTGGTTGTATCTTCCTTAACTGAAAGATCTCTTCTGATTGTACCTTTCCGTTTCCCCCACCATTGTTCTCTCTCTCTCCCTTTTTTTTTTATAATTCCCCACGTTCATTACTTTTTTTTTCTCCTCTTTAAATTCTCATTGTTTTGTGTGGCGCATATATATTTGGTGCCCCCCTGTACCAATGTTTATGTGTTCAAATAAATAAATAAACAAATATAAATATCAATGCTTTGTAGATGAATGTAATCATTAAGGAGAATCGTTTGCTTTTATGTATATATAGCAGCTACAAAGTTTCTGTCTCACTGAAAGTGTAGGACAGTGATGGTCAACTGAATGCTTTCAAAGTATTTTTAATAAGGCTTCTCAATTGTATATTATTTCAAACTACTATTAAGTTCAAATTTAAATACCGTATTTCAGATGAAAAATAATCATTCAGTTAGTCTACTTGCATCATTTAGAGTGGTGATTGTCTTTATTTTTTATTATGTCAACCTTCCATTTATCTTATATAGTAAAGCAAATAGATAAGTTTATTGATAAGGATATTTGGTGACACCCTAAACTTCTTGTAAAATGTATCGGAGCCATGAAAAGATTTTACGGAATAAATCTGTTGAGGCTATAGTTCTTATTTCTTTTTTTTTTCAGTCTTTCTTTCTGTAACACATTCGCGAGGTTCAGTTTTCTTTCACTAGGTGGATTCTCCATATCCACCAATGCAGTTGAAGCTCCGAGCATTCGCCTTCTTTCCTTTCACTTTCGTAAACAACACCCACCGCGAGAGGTCAGTGAGTAGGACGTCCCTGTAAGTGGCTGTATACCTGTGACCATCTTTGTGCGGACTCCCACCCTCAACCGTACCAGAACATTTGGGGATTTCTATTCAGAGTTTATAAATTCATCTTCAAACCTAGTCAGTAAAATGTAAACTGTTTTAACTTTGATATTGTTCACTTATCTTGATCATTTTAAAAGTAATTATAATTTCAGATCTGTTATGGTTTTATTTTTTTTTCAGAAATCATGTATAAATTAGATCGTTTAATACCAAGTTCAATTAACTTTGTGCATACGGATACAATGTATAAATTGGAAAATTTTTACCATCTTGATAAAGAAAATAATTCATCGTCGTGCTTTCAAATATCAAATGAAGGTATTTCTAATGAATTAAATGAACGTGATAAAAGTCTTCTTAAAGAACTTGAACAATTAGACGAGAATATATCATTTCTTTTAAATATGTTTAAAAGTTATAATCCGAAAAATAATTCCAATGTTTGTAACGCTCAAAATGCTTCAAAATCTGACAACTTTATTTCTGAGCTTCATCAGTTAACATATCATATTTCAAATCTTTCAAATCATTATAAAACAAATCTTGTTGAAGATGTACAACCTGACAACATTTACAAAGAACTATGTAAATTAGACTTAGAGTTAGATGATATTTTGAGTATGTTTACAAACTATTGTCATCTTCAGCATATCAATAGCACAACGACAAACAGTACTCCAACACCTTCAAATAAGTCTATTACTGTCCCTAAAGAACCTTTCACGCTTATTATTCAGTGTAATCCAAATCGTCCTCCGTTATCGGTAATATTGTTTTGTCACATACTACTTAGTAACCAATATAAAGTAACAATTAACTCATTTGTACACTCAACAGTAAAAGAACTACCTACATCACTTAAGAAGTTAATGGATATCCTTTCAATTGATATGCATGGTTCTCCAAGTAATAACACATGTTACTGGCTGTTTGACACAAAACTGTGCCTACATTTTATATGGAACTCAAGCTGTCCTGATAGTACTGTTTCATCCCTTGATAAATCTATTACACCAACAACGTTGTACGGAGAATGTATGCTTGTACAACTGATTGGAAAAATTCTAGAACCTCACAATTTCGACCAACTATCATCACTTATTATTGCTATAGACTCAAGTTTACTATTACCCGGATTATCGATACGTAACACTTCCCTAGATGTAAAACAAAAGTCATTAAATATTTTAAATAACCACCCATATTTTGTGAAGTTCAATCGTGAACTGCCATCAATCGTTGATTGTTATCTATTTGTTTGTATTAAGGAATTGAAACTGTCGGATGTATTGCCAGCTAATCTGAAATCATGGTTGCAGTTTTGTTCTAAATGGAAAAGCTTTAATTTCTTACCACTTTAAGTTATTTTCTGTGGCCTAAATTTGATAAGTATACTTACTGGTGTATAAAAATCTTATTTTGCTATTATTTTTAGGTCGATATAAGGCGTTCATAAGCATTGCTTTCGTAACGTTATATTTGAGTACTACTTATTAATTCAGTGGTTCCAAGTGTTTGTCTTATTTGGACTATTTCCTTACTAGTACGCCTTGTTTAGATCAAATGATATTAATAAACATCACAGTTTCTCATTGACTTCGATATCATTGTACTATGCAATTTAACTCGAGTCATTTCACTCACCATGTTTGCCACTGGATTTCTTTTATATTCTTAATCATATATGCAAACAGAATAACCTGATTAGTATGGTACTAAATCTACCTAAATTTTTTTACAAAGGATAATCTATCATTATGGTTATGTTCCAATCTTATCTACACAGCAAATCATGAACTTGTGAACATATAACGGTCTTTGTGAGAAAAGTTGATGCAATTAGTCAATAGCCAGATTGATTTTTGATAATGTTCTTAGACAGACGTATCTGTTCCTCAGTATTTAAATGTTAAATTTCTCACTTTAGCAACCAGGTACAAGTTCGTACACGACACCACTGCCTTTTTATCCTGTAGAACGAGGTTAAAACCAGTGAACTAATATTTAAAGCTACTACACTGTAAGAATTAATGATAATTTCCCACTGCCCAAACTATAACGGAGTTCAAATTCACAACAAAGTGGTCGCAAACCGAATACTGTAACCATTAAGCTACAACTTCACCAATCAACTTTAAACGCCTAGTAGCTAAAATTTGTTGGTAAAGTTATAAGATGACCGTTTTACTTGTTTGATAAGTTCTTAGAACTAATCATGTTAATGAGTGAAGCCAAGTAGTATATGTTCAACTGAATCTCACAGGTCCGACTCAACGTTGGTATGGTTGATTGCTTAAGATCATTTTCATTTGACATAGTTGACTTGATACATTCTTGTGCACAAGTTTCCAGTTGTACTGACATTCTTTGGTATGATAAAAGTCTGCTTTCTTATATATAGCTCAGTGGTTCTATCTATGTCGTGATTTGCACAACTTTGTTCGTAATTTCCAAACCAGTTGAAGCCTAAAAGTTAACTTTCTCAAGTAATTATAATCAAGGATACCTCACTAGAATTTCTTCAGCTCTTTAGGTTTCAGAATTAAATCTAAGATGGGATAAGTGCTGTGTGCCATTAGGGTACCTTAAATTAGCGACTCTTCTGACTGACAGTAGTTGTTGTTGGATTATATCTTAAGCGAAGCGTCAACATTTTAGACACATTGAGTTTGAAGCGACGTGAAACCAAATTACAGGACCTCTTGTACTGATTTCCTTCAAGTATCGAATATTGATGTTACTCCTAAAGCAGCTGTTCAGTGTGAATTTATTTCTAAATGGTTGTTAGGCTGATATATATTTCCTGTGGATAAAAGTCGCTTTTATTACAGTCAGAAATCTTCAATTCACTCCTTTTAGTTATACAAGTGAAGAAATAAATCACCATTCATTTACTTTTATAAGTTATTGCATGCAATCATTCTAAGAAAGTACATACACGTGAAGAATCGTACGGTAATGTATTTTTCTGCATGTCAATTTCTTTAAAATAATTTGAGATACAGTTGGACTAGATAAAACAAATCAGAAAAGGGTCAAATGTGGAAGAAATACCATGACACACTATAAACTAGCGAACTAAATTGAAATTAAGATTTTAAGAAAAAGATGGTTGAGGAAGTTAAGATGGCAGAGATATCAGAAAATAAGAATTGAGTATCTTTTGCAAAGTGAATTAGATTATTACACATAATTCTATCATAATAATAGTATTTCGATATTAATTATATTCAACAGTCAATAAAATCAAGAGGAAATTGATTGTATAAAATAAATAACACCCAGGATAACAGTATCTACAGGTGAGAGGATATTACAAAATAGTAGGATATCATTTAAAATTAAACAAGCGATGGTATCACTATGAATTCTCCAATCCACTAGGTGAAACATGATTGAGAAATGTAAAATGAGAAGATTCTATACTTGATTGTATAAAGGGCAGAAATTATTGACTAGGCAAAGCCGCTTACTACCAATGTCCACAGGTGAATACACCAGTGTGTAGTGTACAGAAGAGTGCATAAGACGGAGTGAAATGAAAGGTAACAAACTCAGTAGGGATATGATTTATGTGTACTTACGTAATATAACGAGTAAAATAAGAAATAAGGACGCATATGCATACGATTGCAAAGTAAATATGAATATTATTGAACATTGCAATTGATTGGTAAAGGCTTGTCTGGGTTTAAACATTTATTACACGTAAGTAATTCAGATACGGCACGTACCATATAGGACATTGTACCGAATTTTCCAGCAGGTGGTGTGTCATAGAAACGCTGACAAATATTATGTAATCCATTGCACGTTAAAGTGCTTTGTTTACGTGGCGTTGAATCAGCGACTCCAGATTGCTTCATTGGTTTTCCACAACACAGTGTGGCGTTTCCGCCATACTTTATCTAAGAAAAAAAGATGTAAACGTCACGAAGCTTGTCAACTACTCTATCACTTAACGTTATCAGTACACAATTGATTGCTTTCACGAGCAAGTATTTACCGATCTGAGTCATTCTCTCAATCAGTAGGATATAAGCGATTGTGGGAAATAACGACTAATGTTACCCACTACGTCATCATTGGTGTTGAATGGTGGTTGGTTTTGCAACTTGAGCATAACAATAAAACAGCTGAATTGTTTTATGAGTAACAGGTTTCTCGTTACGATTTTAATAAAGAAAAAATTGTTGAAAAGGATGACAATTTATTTTCAGCTGTGGCTGTAGGAGTATGAACAAATACTGATTAGTATTTATTTTACTTCGACAGCCGCTTAACGTACGACGAGACAGTGGATCCCACCAGAGAGTATTCGTATTCTAGAGATAAATACACTACTTGAACAGGTGCATATAACAATGACCTTTAGGTTGAAATTATTTAGATTAAAGTAATACTGTTCATATTGAAATTATTATTGGGAACATTATGATGTAGAACAAACTACCACAATTTGTGTAATCAAAATATTATGAGAACTTGAAATCCAAACCAGCAATTTTGCAAATAAATGTAATGGTATGGTAGCCAGAAATCGATTGGAACACAATTGTATTCTACTACTACGAGTACTGCACATAGTTACTTAGTTGAACTGTTTAAATTCTGGCTTATTATCAGCATCATTTAACGTAAGAATATCATTTTAGGTTTAACTATCGAGATAGTGATTTGTGCTATGAAAATTAAAGTGTTTGGTTTCTGTATAGTCGAATAAAGGATGTCTTGTTAAGTGTTCAACGATTTCTATTCCTTCCAACAACTGATGTTGAACTAATTGAGTTACAGTTTCGAACAGAGTTTTACAAATTTCATTTTGGGAAGCTACATGGTAGTGCTAGTGTTCTAAACTATATAATCAAACAAAACAATCACTTACTTGATCAATTAAAAATAAATTATTTGCTTTCTCTACAATATCTTCAACTTTAACGATACAATCAATAAATATTCGATTGTCAACATCATGCATCATCAATGAACCAAGTACGTGAATTGCTTCAATAATTAATTGACGATATTCTGGTGTACTAACCATTGTGCATACATGTTCAACAGTTAAAGCAAACTTATGTTCATCCATTGTCATCTAGATTAAGTGGAGGGGGGGGAATATAAATATTTTCTTATAAAATCAGCATTGATAACAGTATTTTTAACATGAAATTCCAAATAGATAATATGATGTTAAAATATTTAAGGAGAAATTATTAATCTTCAAAACAAGGAATACTCAGAATAACTTAAAATGATTCTATGAGGAGAAAACTAGTGATGTCGAAAGATTTTTCATCGGTAAAAGTCTTGAAATACTTTGGTTATCACTGATTTGTAATCTTAGGTTATCCATGGAATAGTGAAGAAAGTTACAATTTCCAACTACCAGGTTACAAGCTTGAGTCTCAATCTGCTTCGATTTAGGAAGCTACGTAATATCAAGAAGCACGGCTAGTTTACTAAGTACTCAACTTCTGGCCACAATGTTTACGTCAGATAGTTTTATATTACATAGACAACTTAAACTGGGGTAGATGGGATAGGGCATGAACATTTGATCTACTTGGTCAAAAGCTGAGTGGTTTAATCACTAATCCAAACTAATGCATGAAATTATATTTGATTATTAAGTTGCTTTTGAACATTGGTAAGTTACAGACCAATGATATGAACGAATGCCCAGACTAAGGAGTTATCACTCTAATCTGATCTGAGTCACGTAGGAAAATATTGTTTAAATCAAAGCCTATACCTCGTTTTTATCGAATGATCAAATTAAGCTAATAAATATCAAATATAACAAGCAGTTTTCAAAATGAAGAATTTGGAAAAGATTCGTTTGCAGAATATACTGTTTTGTGAAAATGTTAGAACGTAAAAAAATACAAAACAAGGACTTGGCAAATTACAAAGTTAAAAAAATACTAAAAAATGATTTTTTTTTAGTAGTATACACAACATTTAGCTAAACGATAAATTGAGTTAACCAAACATTAGCTAAATCATAACGTGCGAATGCTATTGGACTTCATGAGTAAAAGAGTACTTGTAGTCTTGAGGGAACAGATGATCCCTATAGTCACTGCTCAGTCATTAACTAATTATAAATATCCCTGTCCCACAGAGCAGTAATAGAATGAATAGCTAAATAATAAAGGCTCAGGTTGTGAAACTGGTTGATAGGGGTCAGAGAGTGTCAGCTATCTCAAGATTGAAGGTACACCTTACTGAGGACGTGTGTCAACCTGGAAAAAACCTAGGTGAATACAGGGTTATCGGTCAGCTATCATCAACTACCTAGCATCCCAAACAAAGTGATTAAAGTGCAACTAAGACACACGAGTAATTGTTTCTTTTTAATTATTTCAGAAAGTGAAAAAACTTACTTCTTTTGTCAAATTATGACTAAGTATTAGACTGCCAATGCTTAAACCTTGCATATGAGTTAATGTGATATAAACTCGTTTATAGAATCCAGGTGGGACACGATTCAATGCACCATCAATTTTACGTCGACGACTCCAGAGGTTTCGTGAATCAGTTTGACAATTTTCATTTTCTGCCTCAGTTGTAACACTAGCGACTATAGATTGTTTACGTGATGCAATAAATGGACGACTTGCAGTGGATCTTTTCTTTACAGAACCAGAAATAGTATCTAACGTAGCCTGTAAGTTATCTTGATTTGTAAGTGTTGTATTTATAAGTTTAATTGGTTGCTGTATAAAAGTAAGTAAGATATAAAAATATTACGACTTCAACTATTATCGAACAGGATGTAATTACAGTAAAAAACGAATTGAATATTGCAACTTTATGTAAATTCTTTGAAATATTATGTAAAAAAACGAATAAGGATTTCCCACTACATACTCAAAAGTTATTGCAGTTGAAATTTTGAGAAAAAAAAAGATACAACTGTTATTGATTTAACTGTATACCACTAAAA